ATAAGAGTCTCACAAACTTTCCTTCCCAGGTTGGTTTTGAACCATGATCCTCATATCTCAGCCTCCTGAGTAGGTAAGATTTCAAGTGTGAGCCACCAGCACACGCTGGGCCTCCTCGGTTTTACTTTTAGAATTTGTGTAGTTTGAATGGATCTGGGAGCTTGGTAATATATAAACCAGATCATCATAGGTAGGGGTCAGTGTGCCTGCTGGAGGCTGAGCTGCGGGGGGCAGGAGGGGTGTCTGGATGTCCCTTATCTGTTCAGCACAGGCTCTGCTGCCCAGGCTCTGCAGCTAGGGCTGGAGAGGAACATTTTCCAGCAGAGCAGTTTGCATGGAGGAGGCCAGTGTCAAGGTCTAACAGAGTAAAACTGTCTCAAATGGTCTTTCAGATAAAAAGCTAATGTCTAGCCCTTTTCTTTGAGATATAGAATGGCCTAGGGTAAGGCAGGTATTTGCAGTTCTATAGTTTGCTGTCTGCTTCAGCTGAGAGAAAACCTCAAATTTTCTGGGGGTAGGGGGTAGAAAGGAGGGGGGACGGCTCTGCTCCCTTCCTCTCCGTGAATAAGCAAAAATGAGAAGTTGGGATCAGCCAGCCCGCATGGTTTCTGGGAAATGCTCTTTGTAAGAATTCTTAGGTTCTTCTTGGGAGTTTTTCTTGTCAGAGTAGCCACTAAAAATTGATCGCAGAAGAGAGAGTAAAAAAAAAAAATCACTTTACTGTTTAGTAGAGACCAAGTTAAAAAATAAGTAGAGAACTAAGTGTTAGTACTTTCACAAGCTCCATATTACAGAAAGTTGCCAGTGTATAGAAGCAGCACTTAGCACAGCGGAACCTGCCATGGGGGGTTCCACCCGGGTTGCCAAGACCCGGCTTAGCACTTCATCTGCACCTGACTACCATGGAGAAAAGTAACATATACTCTGTAGTGGAAGAAGCCACACGGGATTCTAGTGAATAGCCACTTCGTATTTTAGGGGTTTTTTTTTTGTTGTTGTTGTTTTTTGCCAGTCCTGGGGCTTGAACTCAGGGCCTGGGCACTGTCCCTGAGCTTGTTTTTCTCAAGGCTAGCCCTCAACCATTTGAGCCATAGCACCACTTCTGGCCTTTTCTGTGTATGTGGTACTGAGGAATTTAACCCAGGGCTTCATGCATGCTAGGCAAGCACTCTACCACTAAGCTACATTCCCAGCCCTAGTGTTTTTCTTTACAAATGAGAAGGGGAAAAAAAAAAAAAAAGGTTTAAGAGCTTTTGCTCCCTTCCTTGCCCAGTACTTTAAATGTCGGCAGACCTGAGATGATGGAGCAGTATATAGCAAGCACTTTCATAGACAAAGACAAGTGACAAGTGGTGGCAGAATTTTACCAATAGCTATGTTATGGGCTGGCTATTCTCTCTAGAAGGGGCTGTGATAAATACTTGGGGTCTACAGAGATCCTCCTTTTAAGAAACATTGTTCTTGAGCACTGGTGGCTCATGCCTGTAATCCTAGCCACTCAGGAGGCTGAGAGCCAAGGATGGTTCAAAGCCAGATTGGGCAGGAAAGTTTGTGGAGACTCTTAATCGCTAATTAACCACCAAAAAGCCGGAAGTGGAGCTGTGGCTCAAGAGGTAGAGTGCCAGCCTTGAGTGGAAAAGCTAAGGGACAGCGCCCAGGCCCCATAGTCCAAGCCCCAGGATCAATCAGCACAAACAAACAGCAGAAGAAAACAGCAAACATTGTTCTTTGAAGCACTCAGCAAACAACTAGTGTGTGTAGAGATTGCCTGGATGGGAGCCAGTTAAAAATTCATTCAATGTGTGATTTTAGGGCTAGTTTCAGCTAGCTCTGTGTTCCCAAAATAGCAGAATGGGCAGTTTTCAAGGTTCTTCATGACTGCTTTCTCTAGGAGAAAGGAAACTCACACCTTAAATAATTTCCATTAAAAACAACAAAATCGTTTCCATGATGTTATACACTTAAAAATTATGCTCTAGGAGCTTCAACTATATAAATGCATTAGGCAAGAAATAACAATTAATTTAAATTAAATATAAGCAGAAAACCAGACAATCTTACCGACATAAAATAGAAGCAGGCTGATTTCTAGCTGGATTGGGAGTTGGATGGTGGGCCGGAGCTGGGGCCTGCCTGGTGTCCAAGGCTCCATTTCTGTGTGTGTGAATGTCAAGCTCTGTTTGGAAAGAAAGGTGGCTTTTTTTTCCTCCTTTTTTTTTTTTTTTTTTTGAAAAGCAAAGAGGAAGTCTTCTTAAGGAACTGTAATCAGGAACTTTTTGAAATTGTGTAAAAATGTCTGTAACTCAGTTTCGCCATTTAGTTGAGATTTCAGTCTGGAGGACTGTGTGTGCGTGTGTGTACGCGTGTACGTGTGTACAGTTCTGGGGCTTGAACTCAGGGCCTAGCTGTCCCTTAGCTTTTTTTCTCAAGGCTAGTATTCTGCCATTTGAGTCACAGCTTCACTTCTGGCTTTTTGCTAGATAATTGAAGAGTCTAGACTTTCCTTCCTACGCTGGCTTTGAACTGTGATCCTCAGAGCCTCCGGAGTAGCTAGGATTATACATGTGAGCTACCAGTGCCTGGCTAGAGCACTTTTCTAAATGTAATCCTTTTTTTTTTTTTTTTTAACTCCCAGGGGCTTTTTAAGTGCTCCTAGGTGTTGGATGTCAGGTGAGGTACAGGAAACATGGATTCCTAGGAGGGTGCATGGTTTGACAGTGGTCAGTCTGGATTTTCCAGAACAGTCCAGTTGCTCTCCCTCCCAGGGCCTGGATGGTGGGGGGTGGGGCGCAGAGAATTAGGAAGTCCACTGTGATCAGTCAGGTTCTTTGTAAACAGCAGGGAGGGACTCAGAGAAAGGAGACTTCATGTCAAGGTTTTGGGGGAGGCCTGGGGCCCATCATCAAGAAGAAGGCCCGGGCCTGCCACAGTGAAACCCACCTGAAGCGAGACCCACCACCTCCAGGTGCCACGATCTGTCAGCCTCACGTGCTCCCGGCCGCCTCCTCCACAACACTGCCGTCAGCACCCACATCTGCACGCCTTTCGTCCCCACATCTGGGCCACCGGGTTGTAGGTGATATTCTGGTTCCTCCAGCCACAGGGAGGGCAGTGTAAGTGGCTGCTTGTCCTGACTTGGCCTTCCACCCCTGTCTAGAGGGAACTGGACAGCGTGCACCAACGAGCTTCCTAATACACCAGATACCTGTGACAGCGTGTGCTTTTCACATCACCACAGAATCCCAAAGCACCCCAAAGTGAAACTCGCTGTGCGCGTGCGTGTGCACACGCGTAGGTCAGTGTGGGACTTGTATGTGAACATGAATATTTTGTCTGGTCCCCTCACTCCTCACGCACCTGGGGCCTGCAGGACAGCTTTCAGACCCTGTTCTGAGGCAGGTTAAGTGAGCTTCTGTTCTGATGTCCTGTCTCCGCTGAAGGAGCTTATGTGTTACGAATTTGTTCGGAAAAGTTTGAGAATTGACTCAGCTTCTCTCTCTCCCCTCTTTCTCCCTTTTCTCCCCCCCCCCCTCTTTCTCCCTTCTCTCCCCCTCCCCCCTCTATCCTCCCTGCCCCCCTCTCTTTTTTGCTGGTCCTGGGGCTTGAGCTCAGAGCCTGGGCACTGTCCCTGAGCCTCTCTGTGCTCAAGGCTAGCACTCTACCACTTGAGCCACAGTGCCACTTCCAGCTTTTCTTGAGTAGTTTATTGGAGATAAGAGTCTCCTGGACTTTTTTGCCCAGGCTGGCATTGAACTGCAATCCTCAGATCTCAGCCTCCTGAGTAGCTAGGATTACAGGTGCCTGGCTTCAGCTCCTTTTAAAGAACAGAGTGATGGGGCTGGGAATGTGGCTTAGTGGTACAGTGATTGCCGTGCATGCATGAAGCCCTGGGTTTGATTCCTCAGTACCACATAAACAGAAAAATCTGGAAGTGACACTGTGGCTCAAGTGGTAGATTGTTAACTTGAGCAGAGAGGCTCAGGGTCAGTGCCCAGGCCCTGAGTTCAAGCCCCAGGAAAAGAAAATACAATGATGGTCCTTTTTTCTTTTTTGTTGTTGTTGCTGTTTTGTGCTGGTACTGGGGTTTGAACTCAGGGCCTTGCACTCTCACTTGGCTTTTCTTTTTCCCTCAAAGCTGGCACTCTACCACCTGACACCTTGACTTATGTGTGTGTGTTTTTTGTTTTTTTGCCATGTGACTGGAGGTAAGAGTGTCACAGGCTTTCCTGTCTAGGCTGGCTCCAAGTTTCAATCCTCAGATCTCAGCTTGCTGAGTAACTAGAATTACAGGTGTCTGCCACCAGCATCTGGCTATCTTTATAATTTAAACCTCTTTGTCAACTTTTTATTTTCAGTCCTATGACTCTCTAGGTTAGTAAGTCGTGTAATTGACTTACATTACACTTGTGACATTTCCTTGTCTTTGTCCAAAATCCCCTTCAAATATTATGGGTTACTCTTTTTTTTTTTGTCGGTTGTGGGGCCTAAACTCTGGGCCAGGGCGCTGTCCCTCAGCTCTTCAGCTCAAGGCTAGCGCTCTACTGCTTGAGCCACAGTGCCACTTCTGGCTTTTTCTGCTTATGTGGTGCTGAGGAATTGAACCCAGGGCCTCATGCATGCAAGGCAAGCGCTCTACCACCGAGCCACCTTCCCAGCCCCTCTGTTTTAATATTCATGTTATTTACTGACCAGTTGCCCAATCCCTTAACCACTGTAAATCCCTCATCATCATGAAGGACACACTGCCTGCAAGTCTCAGAGAAGGCAGCTTGAGGGCTTTGTGTACAGACAGACTTGGGGTTGCTTGTGAAACTTGACCTCCTGACCTTGACCTGGCCACTTGTGACCTTCAGCCTTTTTGAATCTAGCCACCCACTGTGCTGGGGTTTGGGGACTGTGGAGACACTCACCAGGGGGCCTTGGAAGATGAAAGGGCCTGGACTGTTCCCTCTTCAATTTGTTTGTTCAAGAATTTAACTGAATGTCCTTCTTTGTTTTAGTAGGTGGCAAGTGGGAGAAGCCATCAGAAATTTTGGAAATCAAGGGACAGAATTGGGAAGAACAAGTGAACAGCTTGCCAGAGGTGTTCAGAAAAGCTGGCTTTGTCATCGAAGCGTTCACCAGACTGCCCTACCTGTGCGAGGGCGACATGTACAATGACTACTACGTCCTGGACGACGCCGTCTTCGTCCTGAAGCCCGTGTGACCCCGCGGGCGCCCAGCCCTGCAGTGTGCACGCCCAGAACCTGCCCTCCGGAAGAGGGGCTGCGCGCAACCGGAAGCCCCCGGAGGACCGTCGGTGCTGCCGTTCTCAATACCATGTAGGAATTTTAAAAGCCAAAATACTAATTATTTCTTTGTAGTGTGTAAAAGAAACGTTTTTTTTTTAAAAAACAAAACCAACAAAACTCAACTCTTTGTGGATTTTTATCAGCTCTCTACTCAACTAGGGCCACCATCCAATGCAGGCCACACTCCAATGATGATGGAAAATATTTTTTTATACGGAATTGCTGTAGGGACTCATTCCCAGCAGAAGCAATAGTCACTACTTCATGGAGCCAATAGATGGATCGTTTTTAATAAAAGGAAGACTGGCAATAAAGCTGTCCATTCAGTTCCAAATGCTGGTTATAAGGTATAGCCACTGAGAATAACTCTTTCATGTTTAGAAACTCTTTCTGTTATTATTCAAGAAAATGTTTTTAATCATGCTAATAAACTTTTTTGGAGACGATGTTGGCATCCTGTTTGAGTTGCTGTCTGATTTCCCTAGCATGTTGTGGCTTTGACTTTAGGATACCCAAATAATGCATTATGGAAGGATGCTACTACTTGCCACGTGGCAGTACTGGGCTTGAGCCCAGGGCTTTTTTTATTTGGCTCTTTTTGCTCAAGGCTAGTGCTCTACCACTTGACCCACAGCTCCACTTATTTTGGGTGGCTAACTGGAGATGAGTTTCATGGTCTTTTCTTCCTGATCCTCCTTCAGGAGAGCTTTAGACTGGGGGTGGGGTGGGGTGCATGTATGAAGCTCACCAGGCAGTCTAGACACTTCCTGAAGGAGCACCTCCTCCCCACGCTGTACACCAGAGGCCACCCTCATTCATCAGGCACACTGATTCTAGAAATGCAGGACACTTGGACCTTCCTTCCTCCCCTCCCCTCCCCTCCCCTCCCCTCCCCTCCCCTCCCCTCCCCTCCCCTTCCCAACTGTGGCTAGAACTCAGGGCTTAGGTTCTGTCTCTTAGGTTTTTTGCTCAAGGCTGGCATGCTACCACTTGAGTCACACCTCACTTTGGGCTTTTTGGTGGATAATTGAGATAAGACTCTCAGAGCCTTTCCTGTCTGGGCTGGCTTCAAACTTTGATCCTCAAATCTTGCCTCCTGAGTAGCTAGTATTATATGTGTGAGCCATCAGTGCCCAGTTTAAGATTTGTGTCTTCAACTGGGAGAGAGTGAAGGAAGGGGAGACATTGTCCAAAATGAAATGACCTCATTACCTGACTTAGGAAATGGTGAGCCCTCTGTACATCACCTTTATAATAGTAAATAATAATTTACAGCTTTGCTTCTTTATAATTGTCGTAGTCATGGGTTGCCTTCTGGTAGGTGTTCAAAGAAGGCAGGTTGCCCCAACATTGCTTTAAACTTTAAGAGAATTAATTAAACAAATTAATTTGAGAATTAATTTGATGCTCTAATAAAAAAAAGCTCATTCTTTACCTTAAGAAAAACAGAGAAGGCACATACTTTAAAGCAAAAAGTTTCTCAAAGAGCTAAGGTTCTCTGAAGACCAGTTTATTAAAAGTGCCATTCTATGGCAAAGGAAATCTAGCCAATATGCTCACATTTCCTGTTTGGTCTTGGCAATCTCGGTGATTCCACTAGATGGCAGTGTTGCTTACTGAGTGTCAATGGGCTTCCTTTTCTCCCAAATCTTGAGGGTTTTTGTGTTCTTCGCCTCCCCCTAAGTACAATAAAGCTTGCCTTCGTATTTGCATCATTCCTGGCCTAAGTGCTTCATACCAAGTGAAGCTTGAGCTGGAGAAATTAAGAAGAGCTCTACGTGTGGTCAGATCAAGCTCACCTTTGGACCTTCAAGGTCAATGGAGAAAGCAAACCCAGGCTGCACCTGGCGTTCCTGGCTGCTTGCACTGTATTGGAAATCCCTGGAGTGCAGAGACCGCAGGCTTTAGGAAGGGGCGTGGGAGGGGACGTAAGGCCCATAGTCATTTCTTCTGCAGCAGGCATGTGAAACCAGGACTGCATTTTCTTCCATCCTGTTTGAACCATTCTTAGTTCTTACATAGCTGCCTTGTAACAGGAAACTAGCTGGCTTCAGTCTTTTTGAAGAAGGCTTGGCTTTCATCTAGTTCTGAATAGAATACAAATAGCTTTGGAAAGTGAGCAGGTCACTAATAGAGGCATCCATTTTTTTGTTGTTGTTTCTTTTTTTTTTTTTTTAACTCCAACAACAGTAGTGTGTCCATCTTGGGCTCCAGTGGTTAAAGCAACCTGCCATGTTTGTGTAGTTGCCCACCTACAAAGTTTCATGCATCTGTTTAGAGCTGGAAAACAGCATGGGGTTGGGGTAGTCTCTGGGAGTTCCCAGCACAAAATGGGGCTCCTCATTAGCTTCACATAACCAGAATGGTCACAAACACAGTTTATCAAAGGTACAAAAGAAAGTTCTGGGTTGATGGCTCATGCCTGTAATCCTAGGTACTCAGGAGGCTGAGTTCTAAGGATCATGGTTTGAAGCCTGTCTGGGTAGGAAAATTCTGTGAGACTTTTTTTTTGTCAGTTGTTCAGCCTGAACTCTGGGCCTGGGCGCTCTCCCTCAGCTCTTCAGCTCAAGGCTAGTGCTCTACCATTTGAACCACAGCGCCACTTCTGGCTTTTTCTGCTTATGTGGTGCTGAGGAATCGAACCCAGGGCCTCATGCATACAAGGTAAGCACTCTACCACTGAGCCACCTTCCCAGCCCTCTGTGAGACTCTTAACCTCTTAAACAGAAACAAAACAAAACAAAAAAACGAAGTGAAGGTATGGCTCAAGTGGTAGTGCTAGCCTTGACCCAAAGAGTTCAGGGACAGGGCCTAAGTTCAAGCCCCAGTACTGGCACAGAAAACAACATCAAAAAAGGTTAAAAAAAAATGGTAAAAAAAAAAAAAAAAGGTAAAAAAAAAAAATGCCAGGTGCTGGTGGCTCATGCATGTAAAATTCTAGCTACTCAGGAGGTTGAGATCTGAGGATGCAGTTTGAAGCCAGCCTGGGCTGGGAAGTCCATGAGACTCTTAAAATGGCATTGTGGCTCAAAGTGGTAGGGTACTAGCTTTAAGTAAAAAAGCTAAGGGACAGCACCCAGACCCTGAGTTAAACCCCTACAACTGATGCCCCCCCCCCCAAAAAAAAAGTGCAAGAGGCTCATAGAAACTTTGGTGATCTAAATGAAACTAATGCCCTCAGAAGTGAAGGAAATAGCAGAGCGTGTGACTGCTAGCTTTCCATCTGTAACCAGTGGTAGAGGCTGAAGCTAATTTGAGAGGAAGAATCCTGTACACACTGTGCTACTTGCCTTAGTAGTTCACTTATTGGGGCTGGGAAGGTGGCTCAGTGGTAGAGCGCTTGCCTTGCATGCATGAGGCCCTGGGTTCCATTCCTCAGCACCACATAGGCAAAAAGAAAAAAGCCGGAAGTGGTGCTTTGGCTTAAGTGGTAGAGTGCTAGCCTTGAGCTGAAGAGCTGAGGGACAGCGCCCAGGCCCAGAGTTCAGGCCCCATGACCGGACACCCCCCCCCCCACACACACACAAAAAGTAATTTATTTATGTTGCTTTATGTAGGAATCACTTCTATCTTATTTCTGTTATATATATATGGCACTAGGTCTTGAACTCAGGGTCTTGTGCTATCAATTGGCTTTTTCACTCAAGGCTGGTACTCTACCACTTGAGCCACACTTCCACTTCTGGCTTTTTGGTAACTGGAGGTAAGAGTCCTCATGAATTTTCCTGACTGAACCACAGTCCTGGGATCTCAGCCTCCTGAACTGCTAGGATTACAGGCATGAGCCACTGGTGTCTGGCAAAACCTTATTCTTAAGCTATTTTAAAAATAAATTTATCCAGGTGCTGGTGGCTCACACCTGTAATTCTAGCTACTCAGGAGGCTGAGATCTGAGGAGCGCTGTTCAAAGCCAGCAAGACAGGAAAATCAGTGAGACTATATCCAATGAACCCTGCCAGAAAACTGGAAGTGGCACTGTGGCTCAAGTGGTAGAGTGCTCCCCTTGAGCTGAAGAGCTGAGGGACAGCGCCCAGGCCCAGACCGATTTGGGAAAAAAAAGTATTTTAAAATTCTAGAATTTATGGAAACCAAGGAGTTCCAATGTACCCTTTGACTCCTTTTCTCTAGTCTTACCATTCTGGATAACCATGGTATCAAGACTTTAAACAAGTAAACAATAACAACAAAACACATACACACACAAAACCAAGCATGGATGTTACTATTAAGCTCCAGACTGTAAGTATTTTTCTGTTCTAGGGTCTGATTCAGGGTGCTGCACTTACTTTAGTTTTTAATTAATTAATGTTTGGTTTGAACTCAGAGCCTTGCACTTACTAGGCAGGTGCTCTGCCCCTGAGCCATGCCTGCAGACCTTTTTGCATTTTTACCTTTTTTTTCTTTTGGTGCTGGTCCAGGGCTCAAACTTAGGGTCCAGGTGCTGTCCCTGAGCTTTCGTGCTCAAGACTAGCACTCTACCATGTGAGCCACAGCTCCACGTCTGACTTTTTTGATGGCTAATCTCATGGACTTCCCTGCCTGGGCAGGCTTGGAACCTCGATCCGCACATCTCAGCCTCCTGAATCATTAGGATTACAGGCGTGGGAAGCCAGCGCCTGCTATGTTTAAAATTAGCCTCAGTGAGTGGGACAAGGGATTTCGTTGTGCTCTCTGCCTCCATTTCCCAAATCAACCTTCAACCTCAGCCAGAGTCACTGAGTTATTTGGCCGTATTTCACCTTCTCCAGGTACCCCCCCTCCCACCAGGACCCACCCCAAACGTGTCACCCGGTTTTCTTTTTGTGCCTGGGACTTGAACTCAGGGCCTGGGTGCCGCCCCTAGGCTTGGATTTTGGGTACTGCTGCAGACCCCGCTGCACCCCCGGCCCTTCCTTATCCTGAGGCCCACAGACGGCGCCCTGCTCCGGCCGCAGCTCCGCAGCCCAGCGGCGGCCTGGCTCGGATCTGAGACCCCCGGCGCCTCGCCGCCCCCTCGGCGGGGCTGGGATTCCGGGCGGACAGCGCCGCGCCCGGCGTGAGAGCACTTCCCACTGCAGAACACTCAGCCAGCGGGCGGCCCAGCTGGAAGAGCCGGGAGCGGCGGCCTCGCCCCGGCCGGCCCCGGGCGCCCGCGCGCCCCGCCCCGGCGCCCCAGGCCCCGCCCCAGGCCCCGCCCCGGCGCCCCGGCCCCGCCCCTCGCCCCGCCCCGGCGCCCCAGGCCCCGCCCCGCCCCGATGCCCCAGGCCCCGCCCCCGCCCCGACGCCCCAGGCCCCGCCCCCGCCCCTGGCCACGCCCCCGCCACGCCCCGGCGTCCCAGGCCACGCCCCCCCTCCCCGCCTGGTGCCCGCGTGTGCGCCCCGGGCTCCGCGACTCTGGCTGGGGGAGCCCGTGGGCCGGGCGCCGCAGGTGAGAGCGGGCACGCGGGGCCCGGGCACGCGGGGCGCGGGGCGCGGGACCGGGGTGGGGTGGGGAACGTCCACAGTGGGGATGAAACTTGCAGGTTGGGGATCCGAACCAACTGAGTGACAGGAATAAGCTGTGAGGGAAAAGCTACATCAGCCATGGAGCTGCGCCGCTCGCGCCTTCATCCCAGACACTCAGGAGGCTGAGATCTGAGGATCGCGGTTCAAAGCCAGCCCGGGCAGCAAAGTCCGTGTGACTCCCCCCCCACCCCCCAGTCCCGGGGCTTGAACTCAGGGCCTGGGCACCGTCCCTGAGCTTCTGTTGCTCAAGGCTAGCACTTGAGCCACAGCGTCACTGTGTATGTGGTACTGAAGAATCGAACCCAGGGCTTCATGCATGGGAGGTAAGCACTCTACTACTAAGCCATATTCCCAGCCCCAAGAGACTCTTTAATTCATCATATCACACACACACACTGAAGTGAAGCTCTGATCCAGAGTGCTAGGTCCTGAGTTCAAGGAGTTCAAGCCCCAGTACTGGCACCAAAAAAGAAAAAAAAAAAGATAATGATATTTGCTTTGACTGTTGGAATTAAGCAAAATGATGCAGGCAGAAAAGTGTGTACTGAGTTTTCTTGTTATATGGCTGCCCATATTTGTGTGTGGGTAACCAACCATGAGTGTAGGCTCTGCACCATGTTGTGTGGGTTTGGTTTGCTTTTTGGTTGTTGAGGGTCTTGAACTCAGGGCCTGGGTACTGTCCCTGAACTTTGTTGCTCAAGGCTCTACCACTTGAGCCACAGCACCACTTCTGCTTTTCTGGTGGTTCATTGGAGATAAGAGTCTCATGGACTTTCCTGTCCTGGCTGGCTTTGAATCATGACCCTCAGATCTCGGCCTCCTGAGTGGCTAGGATTACAGGCGTGAGCCACCAGCGGCCTGACTTGGCTGGGTGATCTTGTCTTGTCCACTGAGCATACCAGAGGGATGGCTAGGGCCGATGGGAACCATATAATTTAGGGAATGTCTCTCAGCCATTGAATGAAGCCCACTCCATTCCACTTGTTTCTTCCTCTCCTCCCTCTCATCATTGGATCTAGAATTTTCCCTTTGCTTTCCTGAGTCTGGGAGTAGGTAGGAAAAGCTGGAGGGCTGGGACAGGGGCTCAGGATCCCAGACCTGGCTTCCACTTAACCCCTAATCCTTTTACAGTCTTCCTACAACCCTGTGTTGTAATAATGAAAATTGAAATGAAATTTGAAATAAAACTGAAATCAGGCTGGGCACCAGTGGCTCACGCCTGTCATCCTAGCTTCTCAGAAGGCTGAGATCTGAGGATCTCAATTTGAAGTCAGCCCAGACAGGAAAGTCTGTGAGATACTTACCTCCAATTAACTATCAAAAATAATAATAATAATAAAAGCTTGAAGTGGAGCTGTGGCTCAAGTGGTAGAGCCCTAGCCTTGAGCAGAAAAGTTCAGGGACAGCGCCCAGACCCTGATTTCAAGCCCTAAAACCCACACCAAAAAATAAAAATTGTAATCTAGTGAAATTGAGCTGTTTCTCTATAAGCCAGAGATGTTTGCCTAGTACTCTCTCTCTCTCTTTTTTTTTGCTAGTGTTGGGTCTTGAACTCAGGGCCTGGGCATTGTCCCTGAGCTGCTTTTGCTCAAGGCTAGCACTCTACCACTTGAGCCACAGCACCACTTCAGACTTTTTCTGTGGTGCTGAGGAATTGAACCCAGTACTTCATGCATGCTAGGCAAGCACTACCACTAAGCCACATTCCCAGCCTGCCTAGTAGCCTTTCCTCACCACAAAATGGTATTACCATTGCTATTGTGTCTGGTGGAATTTCTCCAGGCCTCCATCCACGCTCCAATGGGTTTAGACTACAGACTTTCTTTTAAAAATTTTCTTAAATAAGTTTTTGATTGTAAAAATACTGTACAGAGGGGTTAGTGTTACATGAACAAAGTAATGGGTACATTTCCTATCAAGCATTGTTGCCTCCTCTTTTGTTTTTCCCCTACCATCCCTTCCCTCCCACCTAGACTGCAGCCTTTCTATGCAGCTGCTCTGTAGACAGTGAAATGCCTCCATCCCTGGTGTATAACCGCCAGTGCCCCACCCAGGCCTTTCAATCCTTCTGGCCAGCGAATGTGAACGAGTGGCCTTTATTGAAAACCCAATCCACAACTGGCAATGGGCCGGGGTTTCGTTGGGACAAGGTCTTTCTACACAGCCAGGGTGGGCATTTGTTTCAGTAATTCTACACCTCCATAGCTGAGCACAAGAAGCCTCATTGTGGCCCAACTGAGGCTTGTGAGGGAGGCCAAGACCCCAGGCCAAGCTGACCCCAGGGGAGGTAGGGAGGAAGACGGGCCAGAGGTGAAGCTCCCTGCTCCCAGGTGGCGCTGATGGGCAGAGTGATTGAGTGGTTGGGATCCAGTTCACTGGAGTTCACTCAAAGCCTGGAGAACTGGAGGCCAGCTTTCAGAAGATTCTGTTGATGTTGGCTCTGTTGGCTGCAGAGGTTCCCTGGTGTGTGTGTGTGTGTGTATGTGTGTGTGTGTGTGTGTGTGTTTGTGTGTGTGTGTGTGTGAGCCTTTTGGTTTGAGAGGAATCGATTTTCTGAGCCTTGGGGAGTGAGGGACAAATAGGCAGGTGACAAGACCCCTGGAAATATCTTAGATTTTTATCCTGAGGTTAAACAGGAAGGAAAGTGACAGGAATAGCTCGGAATATTGAAAAGAACCATCTGTTCTTATTTTCTTATGTACAAATCCTACAGAAGCCAGGCACTGATAGCTCATGCCTGAAATCCTAGCCACTCAGGGAACTGAGATCTGAAGATCAAGGTTCGAAGCCAGCCTGAGCAGAAGAGCCTGTAAGACTGGTATCTTCAATTAACCACTGAATACCAGCCAGAAGTAGAGGTGTGGTTTCAATGATAGAGTGCCAGCTTTGAATGAGAAAGCTAAGGGTCAGTGCCTGGGCCCTGAATTCAAGCCCTAGGACCGGCACACATGCAGTCTGATGCCTCTCATCAAACTAGAACACAGCACAAAGCCATCCTCCAGATACTTCCTCTCTGGGACTGTCCTGCAGGAATTTTTCTCAGTCCTGTGTGAGTTCCTGTGATTGTTTCTGGGGATGTTTTGCCTGAGCCAAAGACTCTGGGATCCATTCTTCAGGTCTCTAGAACATTCTCCCTGCGCAGCTCCCCCACATCCAATGTTCTTTTCCTGGAGTCCGGCTGGCTGCAATGTTCTCCCCAAACTCCTCAGCTGCTCCAAACCTCCTCCCAGCAGTAAGCAGAGCAACACCTGGGACCTGGCTCTGTTTGTCCCTCTTCTCAAAGGAGTTCAGTGTGCGTTACATAGAGGGTGACCAGTGGCTGAACACCTTTGTGTTGTCTATTTTGGTTAGTTTTCTAATGGTTTAAGGCAGAAGGCTTTATCCATGGCCCATTTCTCTGCCCTAGCTGGAATCAAAACTCAAATTACCTTTCCACTCCTAAGTGGTATTCCATTGAATGATTCACTTTTTGTTGGCTATTTGAGGGTTTTTTTCTCTTCAATTTTTTTGGCTATTCCTCTTGCATAAATGCCTCAGATTGGAATTCCTAGATTAGGGTAACCTATATTAATTTTTGTAAGACAAAGCCAAATTGATTTTCAGAGTGGCTACATCAGCAAAATACGAGTTCCTGGGCCTGTTCACAATTGTCAGCACTTGAGGTAGGTATTGTGTGTGTGTGTGTGTGTGTGTGTGTGTGTGTGTGTGTGTGTGTGTGTGTGTATTCTCATTGTGGGTTTAATTGGCAAGGTCTTGCTAATGAAGGTCCCCTGATGATCTTTTGTCTACTTACAGGGCAATCACCTACTTGTATTTAAGAAGCTTAGCTTCGTGTTTTTCCATTGGCCTCTGTCTTACTGAATTATTAGAGCTCTGGAATTCTGCTTAAGATATAACAGAGTTTGCTTTTAAATACCCCTAACTTATAGATGGTAGGGTGACAGCTAAGAGTGTAAATAGGATCTAGGCATTGTGGCTCATGCTTGTACTAGTTACTCAGGAGGCTGAGATCTGAGGATTGCAGTTCAAAGCCAGCCTGGGCAGGGAAGTCTATGAGACTCTTCAGTGAACCACCAGAAAACCGGAAGTAGAGCATGGCTTAAGTGTTAGAGCGCTAACCATGAGCAAAAGAGCCCAAGGACAGTGCCCAGGCCCTACGACAGAAAATGAGGGTGTGTGTGTGGGTGGGGGAAGGAAGGCGGAGAAGAAGTGTAAATAGGAGCTGGGCATTGTGGCTCAGGCATGTAATCCTAGCCAGAAGTGGAGGTGTGGCTCAGGTGGTAACGTGCTAGCCTTAAACAAAAAAGCCAAGAGAAAGCATGAGGACTTGAGTTCAAGCCCTAGTACTGGCGCGTGTACGTGCACGCGCGCGCGCACACACACACACACACACAAATAAATTTAAAGCCCTGAGGGATTCTGGGTCTCTGTGTTTTCTTTTTCCTCAGGAATGTTCTTAAATGGATGAAAGCAGGACCAAACTCTCTTCCAGGTTGGATCCAGCAGCAGGAAGAGGATGTCTCTGGCACCTGCAGCTTTCCCCCTTTTCCTTCTCCTGAGCCATGGAGTGGCGAGTCAGAGAATTCCGAGTTCCCGGCAGGGTAAGTCATGATGGAGGCACCTCTCAAGCTCTGTACATGTTGAAGAGAATGTAGTCGGCAGTCCAGTGTGGACACGTGTTTCCTGCAGGTGACCGGGGCGCATGCATGCATTTGTGTTTGCCTGTGTGCATGCATTTGTGAGTGTGCACACATGTATTTGCATAGATGCATGCATGATCCCATGTGTTTGCAGGTGATGTGTTCCTGCGTGTGTGACTTTGTGGGTGTGCGTGGTAGATTTCCGGGGATATTTTTAAAAGGCTTTTTTTTGTTTTGTTTTCAAACCAGGGTTTTCATGCCCTGGCTACAAGCATCATTAAAATTCACTGAAAGAAATTTGCTGAAAGTAACTGAGCACTGGTGGCTCACACCTGTCATCCTAGCTTGTCAGGAGGCTGAGCTCTGAGAATGGAGGTTCAAAGTGAACTGGGGCAGGCAAGTCCATGAGACTCTTATCTCCAATAAACACCAAAAAAGCCAGAAGTGGAGCTATGGCTCAAGTGGTCGAGGGCCAGTTTTGAGCACAAAAGCTAAGCAACAGCACCTAGGCCTTGAGTTCAAGCCCTAGGACTAGCACAACAAAAGTGTGTATTGGGGGGAAATTCACGGACAGTTTCCTTCATCAGTGGCTTTGGTGAGGCTCTTCCTGTGACCTGTGTTTGTGTGTGAAGGTCACGTGGTTCAGATCTGGTTACGTGTTTGTGGACTCTCTTACAGATTTGCATCCATTGCTGCAAACCATGGCGGTGAGCTCCAACATCTTTTCATCCTAATCCTCTCTTCTGGGAATGTTCTAGAATGGTTGTGCTGGATGCTCTCTCCTTGCCTTTTAGGAAGAGATCATGGAAGGACGCTATCTGAATGGTAATGTGCCCAGTTGCCCCCTACAGCTCACACCGAGCTCGCGGGGATCTTTCTGGAAGGATTCCTTGTTAAGTGCTCTTTTCCTTGTCTCCCCATTGTAGCATTCCTGGATCTCCTCCAGTTCCTCAGGTGACATGCTGTGGGGAGGGGAAGGGGGTTAAGGATAGTTTGTGTGTGTGTGTGTTTGTGCTGGTATTAGGACTTCTCTCTTTTTGCCAGTCCTGGGGCTTGAACTCAGGGCCTGGGCTTTCCACGCATGGCCCTTCTCTACTGTGGCATACGAGTCTAAGTGAATGTGTACTTAGCACAGGGAGAGCATTGATGTGGGTTCCTTATCACTGCCCCCTGAGGTGGGTGCAGGACAGCGTGGGTAAACTGAGGCCCGGGGAGGGAGACTAGAGCCTCCTCCATACCTGGGAAGCAGTGTGTGAGCCCCACACTTGTTTGCAAAGCCCACCCCCTCCCTGCTTCTCAGTGAAACCTGTGCTCCATACTGGGCCCAGGGGCCAGGGGCTGGGCAGGCTGGGAAAGGAAAGGTCAGCAAGGAATCAAATGCCATAAGACCTGTCAAGGAGGACTGATGAGGGCCTGTGGGGGGTCCCATGAAGGGCACCCCAGTTATGATGAAGTGAAGCACCCCAGTACTCCTCTCGTCTCTCTGACATAACTCAGGTGGATATAGTCTCAGACTGTGTGTGTGTGTGTGTGTGTGTGTGTGTGTGTGTGTGTGTGTGTGTGTGTGTGTGTGTGTGTGTGTGTGTGTGTGTGTGTGTGTGATGGTCCTGGGGTTTGAACACTCATTCTCAGTTTCTCAGCCCTTTCACTCAAGACTGTTACGCTACCATGTGAGCCAAGATGTCTATTTCTGGGTCTCTCTCTCTCTCTCTGTCTCTCTCTCACACCAGTCCTGGGGCTTGAACTCAGGGTCTGGGCACTATCCCTTGAGCTTCTTTTGCTCAAGGCTAGCACTCTACCACTTGAGCCACAGCATTACTTCTGGCTTTTTCTGTGTATGTGTTATTGAGGAATCGAATCCAGGGCTTCATGAATGCTAGGCAAGCACTCTATCACTAAGCCACATTCCCAGCCATACTTCTGGCTTTTTTGGCTGGTTAATTGGTGCTGGGTGCTGGTGGCTCACACCTGTAAATCCTAGCTACTCAGAAGGCTGAGATCTGAGGAACTCAGTTCCAAGTCAGTTCAGGCAGGAAAGCTGTGAGCCTCAATTAACCTTCAATTAACCAGCAAAAAAGCCAGAAGTGGAACTGTGGCTCAAGTGGTAGAGCATCAGTCTTGAGTGAAAAAGCTCAGGGACAGTGCCTAGGCCTGAGTTCAAGCCACACACACACACACACACACACACACACACACACACACACACACAAATGTTTCTTGGATTATGTCTACCCAGTCTGGCTTCAAACTGTAATCCAAATCCTCAGATCTCAGCCTTCTGAGTAGCTAGGATTATAGGCTTGAGCCACAGTGCCTGGTTCAAAGCTGGGTTTGGAGCCACTCTCTCCTTTACGGTACACCCAGAGTCTGGTCTTGTTTGTGTCTTTTAAACGGAAAGGAGGAAGGAGTCTTTCTCTGTAGCCTGCAGTCAACTCACTGGGCCATCATGGGGGCTGGAATCCTGCATTCAGCTGAGAGCCCCACCAGCCCCTCTGGAAGGGTGGGGGAGACCCCTATCGTGTGCTGGCTGGTGCCCACGGCCCCGGGTATCCGTGGCTGTCCTCCTGCCCCTGCCATAGCGCTGTTTGCAGAGGAACACGTCGTTGTGACTTCTCCCTTCTGTCTGTGACTCAAGTACACACGCGTGGACAGCAGACCTGCCCCACCGGGTCCTGACCTACCTGAACTCCCACAATGCCCCCTTCACCATGTCCAGCCTGCAGGTGCGTAGCTGGGGCCTCTCTCTCTCTCTCTGTGTTTCCTTCTCAGGGTTCATAGGTTGCAAACTTGGGGGACCTGGGAGGTTGCACATGTGGACAGAACGGAGAGAGAGTTTCCATTTCTTTCTCTCTCTTTTTTTTCTTTTGTTGATTATGGGGCTTGAACTCTGTCTGGGCCCAGACATTGTCCCTCAGCTCTTCAGCTCAAGATGAGCGCTCTACCACTTGAGCCACAGCATCACTTTTGGTTTCTTGGTGGTTAATTGGAGATGAGAGTCTCAGGGACTTTCCTGCCTGGGCTGGCTTTGAACCAGGATCCTCAGATCTCAGCCTCTTGAGTAGCTAGGATTATAGGTGTGAGACACCAGTTCTGAGTGATAGTTTCCATTTCTACAGAGAGAAATATTCTGTTTAGTTTTTCTTTTTGTTGCTTTTGTGCCAGTACTGAGATTTGAACTCAGGGCCTAGGCACTATCCCTTAGATTTTTTTCTCTCAAGGCTGGTGCTCTACAACTTGAGCTACACCTCCAGTTTTGGCTTTTTGATGGTTAATTGGAGATACAAGTCTCACAGAGGACTTTCTTGCTCAGGCTGGCTTTGAACCACACAGCCCTCCGATCTCAGCCTCCTACGTAGTTAGGATTACAGGTGTGAACCACAGACTCTGGGCTTATTCAGATTTTCTTGAGACATCACACAAACCCTTTTGCCTTTCAACTTCCCACTTTTGGTGGGGACAGGATCTATTACAGTGCTAGGACAAAGAGACTCCAAAATTATAGCCACCCCCAACAAGTTAGCTTATTTCTTTTTTTTTTGGGGGGGGTCCAGTCGTGGGGCCTGAACTCTGGGCCTGGGTGCTGTCCCTCAGCTCTTCAGCTCAAGGCTAGCGCTCTACCACTTGAGCCACAGCGCCACTTTTGGCTTTGTTCTTTTTGCTTATGTGGTGCTGAGGAATCGAACCCAGGGCCTTAGGCATGCAAGGCAAGCGCTCTACCACTGAGCCACCTTCCCAGCCCCATAGCTTATTTCTTTCTCAAGTAACAGTCGAGAGTTAAAGTGAGAGATCCAGAGAACAGAGGCAGTTGTATTTCAAAGCTATCCAGTGGCGCAGATTCCTGTGATCTTTTTTATTTTTTCTGGTCATTACCGAGGAAGTCATCTCTATGCTCACACCACATATATTCTCCAGTCCAGGGGATAGCGGAGGGGAGAGGAAGGGCGGGGTCTAAGGATGTGACTTGGAAGTTATGCAATCCATCGTTCCCATTCCCTGCAAGTTATGCAATCTACCTGTTCACATTCCTCTGGTCCCCAGGCCTCGGTCACCTCACACTTGCAAAAAGGGCTGTTTGATAAATAACAAGAAAATGGAAGTTGATTAGTCAGCTCCCTGTTGCTATAATAAACTACCCGAGGCTGAGTTCTTTATAAAAGGAAAGGGTTTTATGGAGCTTAACAGTTTTAGAGGCTCCAAATCCAGACAGCAGCACAGTGTGGCAGGAGGGTGTGGGACAGGGACCACTGACGTGGTGAGACATAGGAGCCAGGCTGTGTGACAACAAACCTCTCCTGAGAATGTGGGAATGATGTCACTTCCTTGCAAGGGTAGGCCCCTCCTCCATGACCTCCTACTGGGCTCCACCTCTTAAAGGTCCCAGCACTCCCCAACATCAGCCTCTCAGGGACCAAGTTTCAACACACAAACCCTTGGGGGACAAGGTACATGCAGAGCACAGCACGGAGAGTGGCTGTTTGAGTTCAGCGATCAATCTTTCCATCAGTGGTCCAAGAAATTTTCTTGTCTTTTAACTCTCTACAAATAGCAAACATAGCACGCGGATAGATAGCAATGAAGATTTTCACACAGTGCAGTGGGGCATGATGGGGATTCCCATTAACTGGCTAGCGTGGTGGACTGTTAGCCCAGGGTACAGAACTGTGTCTTTCCCATGACACTGTGACTAGCACATTGAATTGAAGCCTTCTTCACTGACTTCCTTGCCTAGGCTGACTCTGAATTGCAGCCTTTTCTTTTTCTTTTTTTTGCTGGTCATGGGGCTTGAACTCTGGGCCTGGGCGCTGTCCCTTAGCTCTTCAGCTCAAAGCTAGTGCTCTACCACTTGAGCCACAGCGCCACTTCTGGCTTTCTAGTGGTTTATTGGAGATAATAGTTTCACGGCTTTTCTTGCCCAGGCTGGCTTTGAACCGTGATCCTCAGATCTCAGCCTCCTGAGTAGCTAGGATGACAGGCGTGAGTCACCAGTACCGGAAGCTATTGAAAAAATTTTCAGGCAGCCTAAAGGAAACACATGGACCCACTGCCAGTGTGGAGACCCAGCAGGGAGTAGCGGGGCTGGGGTGAGGGGTTGGGGGGGGGGGGGGACGAGGCAGGGACTGCACTGCTGGCCATGGTGCTGATCTCTTTGTCCACACCGACTTTCCAACACTCCCTGTCCAGGTAACCATGGAAGATCACCTGGAGCAACTCTTGTACCAGCCCCAGAGGCTGCTGGGAGATCTGAGGGCTGCCAGTGCCCAGCGATTCCGCATCATCATGAAGAGTCTCTTGGAAGACCGGCTGGACCGCCTGGTGAGTTCAGGTCCCCAGGGAGGGGATGTCAAGGCTGAGTGGTGTCAGTTGAATTGAATGAAGTTGAGCTCATTCATGCACCAGGTCCTGGGTCCGCTTCATTCCCCCTGCAGTGCAATGTTTTCCAAGAGGCTACAGTACATTCTTTTTTTTTAGATTATAAAAACTTCCTCTTTAATCAAGTCTTGAAACATAGGACAGATTTCTTGAATAAAATGGAAAAATTTCCATACATTGAGAGATAAATCCATGAGTCACCATACATAAAATACCCAGGAGGAAAAAATAAAACAGTGGGTTTACACAATCTCTGGTCCAGCCATGGAGTGATTCTTAAGATACCAGGTGATGGCTCTACTCAAGAAGCAAAGCAGTTGTTAGCACCTTCAAACAGTGTATTCAACGTCCTTTAAATAGCCAAGTGAGAAATAAGAAAGCCACATATTCATGCTATGAGAAAGGTGTTAGAAAGGACAGCTGTTGGAGATGTTTCTCCAGCTTCATTTCTTTCTTTGGCTAGTTGGGGAGTGATCTCCGGAACAGCAAGATGTGAGGTTCTGGTTCATGGATCACATAATGAACCCCATCCCTGACTCTGTTGAAGGCCAAGATTCCTCCATTCAGATTCAGACATCAAATGGGTTTTAGGAACAAGTTTGGCTATGTCCTTGGGTAACATGACATGCCGGGATTCAAACTCCTCATTGTCATATTTATCCAAATCATAAATTTGTTTATGCGATGTGACCGCTCTGCCAGCGAATTTCCAGCCATGAGCTCCTAACCTCCAAACAACTCTCAGCAGCGCCTACAGTTCATGTTTTTGAGGTACTAAGAAATTAGAGGTGCAAGATGCTGGTGGCTTATTCCTGTTATCCTAGCTACTCTGGAGGTTGAGAGTTGAGAATCATGGTTCAAAGCCAACTCAGATAGGAAAGTCTGTGAGACTCTCCTATCTGCAATTAATCACAGAAAAAGCCAGAACTGGAGCCATGCTTCAAGTGGTAGAGTGCTAGCCTTGAGCAAAAGGAACTCAGGGGACAGTTCCCGGCCCTGAGTTCAAGCCCCAGGACTGGCAAAAAAAAAGAAAAAGAAAAGAGAGGGACTGAGGGTCTTCTATTGGGCTGCGAGTCGTTGGTGCTAGTGGGTGTGGAGGAAAGCCTGTCCCGTCTTCAAGCAGCTACAAAGACATCACAGAACAAGGACACCAAGTCCTGTAGACCCACAAAGACACAGTAGAGAGCTTTCTTTATTGGAGACAGTTTGGTGAGAGACGGTGCTTTCCAAAAGGAGTTGAACCATTTAAACACTTAAATAAGCATAGCCTTCTGACTTCATTCATTTTTCCAATGGTAGAGATTGAACCCCGGGGCTCATGCATGCTAGCTGAGCTACAATCCACCCCCTAATTGTATACTTTCTTTTTTTTTTTTTTGAGTCTGGTCGTGGGGCCTGAACTCTGGGCCTGAGCGCTGTCCCTCAGCTCTTCAGCTCAAGGCTAGCACTCTACCACTTGAGCCACAGTGCCACTTCCGGCTTTTTTTCTTTTTGCTTATGTGGTGCTAAGGAATCGAACCCAGGGCCTCATGCATGCAAGGCAAGCACTCTACCACTGAGCCACCTTCCCAGCCCCACTTTCTTTATTTTTTATATGTTTTATTGTAAAGATACTGTACAGAGGGGTTACAATTACATGAGTAAGGTAATGAGTACATTTTCTATCGAGCATTGTTACCCCCTCCTGTATACTTACTTTAATATCTGTTAATCAAGCATAATGGATACATAAAGCAGGTTGGTAGGAGAGTAATGAGTGTAAGATTTTGTGTGTGTGTGTGTGTGTGTATGTGTGTGTGTATGTGTGTGCCAGTACTAGGGCTTGAACTTCATACTCTCCCTTGGCTTTTTCTGCTCTGGTGGGTGCTCTACCACTTGAGTCACACCTCCACTTCAGCTTTTCACTGGGTAATTGGAGATAAGAGTTTCTTGGATTTGTCTGTGTGGGCTGATCTCAAACTGAGATCCTTAGACCTCAGCCTCCTGAGTAGGTAGGATTATAGGTGTGAGTTACCAGCACCTGGTTTAAACATTGAAATAGCTATATATACTTGCTACTTATTTATTCATTTTTTGCAGTGCTGAGGATTGAAGCCAGGACCTTGTGTATACTGGGCAAGCTAATTATATACCTTCTTTAATGTCTTATTATTAAGGTATAATGGATACATCAAATCTTTTGGTAGGGATGTAATGAGATTAGTGGGGTTTTTTGTTGTTGTTGTTGTTGTTGTTTGTGAGTTGTGGGGCTTGAACTCTGGGCCTGGGCACTGTCCCTCAGCTCTTCAGCTCAATGCTAGTGCTCTACCACTTGAGCCACAGTGCCACTTCTGGTTTTCTGAGTGGTTTATTGGAAATGATAGTCTCACGGCCTTTCCTGCCCAGGCTGGTTTTGAACCATGATCCTCAGATCTCAGGCTACTGAGTAGCTAGGATTACAGGCCTGAGCTACCTGGCTTTAAGTTTATTGTTTTTTTTTGTTTTTTTTGTTGGTCGTGGGGCTTGAACTCTGGGCCTGGGCGCTGTCCCTCAGCTATTCAGCTCAAGGCGAAGCTCTACCACTTGAGCTGCAGTGCCACTTCCGGTTTTCTGGTGGTTTATTGGAGATAGGAGTCTCACGGTCTCTCCTGCCCGGGCTGTCTTTGAACCACGATCCTCAGATCTCAGCCTCCTGAGTAGCTAGGATTACAGGCGTGAGCCACCAGCGCCCGGCATAAGTTTATTGTTTTTAAAGGTTAAAAAATGGCAAAAATGGAGAAGTAGTGTAGGAAAATAGTCTTCCTTGAGGTTGGTTGAAGTTCTTTAGTGCAAGATTTTATTGGAAGGGAACAATCAGTAGATGATCCTTAAGGGCCAGATAGCAAATACTTAAGGTTTGTGGGCCACACACAATGCTGTTGTGCCATGAAAATAGCTGTAGACAAATAGCTAAGTTCCAATAAAACTTTATTTGCAAAAGCAAGTAGTGGGCCAGTTTTGGCCTGTAGGACAAGTAACTTGCCAGCCATGGTTCTCAGGGTTGAATATGCATGGATTCATGGAGTCCTCTCCTGGACCTTCTGAGATGAGGTTAATAAAAACTTCACCATTTGAATGTTTGAATGTAGAAACTGAAGGTCAGAGAGGGTGAGTCAACACAGCTTGCAAAGAGCAAATCTGAGGTTGGAATCTGGGCTCATGACTCCAGTTGCAACCTCTGGTACCTGGGGAAGCCCACAGCCTCTTCTGAGGAACATGTCTCAAAATCTATAGAAGAATACACCAAGGATTAACAAGCAAGCCACTTCTATTGAGAACCATTTATCGGGGCTGAGAAGGTGGCTCAGTGGCAGAGCGCTTGCCTTGCATGCATGAGGCCCTGGGTTCGATTCCCCAGCACCACATAAGCAAAAAAAAAAAAAAAGCCGGAAGTGGTGCTGTGGCTCAAGTGGTAGAGCGCTAGCCTTGAGCTAAAGAGCAGAGGGACAGCGCCTAGGCCCAGAGTTCAGGCCCCACGACCAGACTCAAAAACAAAAACAAAAAAAAGAAAACCATTTATCAACATATATAATACAAGCTGGGCACCTGTGGCACATGCCTGTAATCCTACTACTCAGGAACTTACTATCTGAGGACTGAGGTTTGAAGCCAGCCCAGGCAGACAGATCCATGAGATTCTTATCTCTAGTTAACAGCAAAATTCTGGAAGTGAAGGTATGGCTCAAGCACCAGCCTTCAGAGAACAATCTAAGAAAGAGCACAGGTCCTGAGTTCAAGCCCTAGTACTAGCACAAATAAAACAATGTATAATACAAACCCATTTGGGAGTATAGTGATGAATAAATTTCTTTGGCATTTTTGTTTGTTTGTTTGTCGGTCATGGGGCTTGAACTGAGGTCCTGGGCGCTGTCCCTGAGTTCTTCAGCTCAAGGCTCGTGCTTTACCACTTGAGCCACAGAGCCACTCTGGTTTTCTGAGTGGTTTATTGGAGATGAGAGTCTCACAGACTTTCCTGCCTAGGCTGGCTTTGAACCGTGATCCTGAGTAGCTAGGATTACAGGTGTGAGCCACCAGTGCCCAGCATGAATGAATTTCTTAAAGCACATTCTTGTTTAGATATGAGTCTAAACAAGATCTGAGTGTAAAGAAGATCCCAAGCTTCCTGCCAGTAATTGTAATGCATTGCAAAAACTCCGGAGATGAATCCTGATGCCATTGGTGGCTCACGCCTAGAATCCTAGCTACTCAGGAGGCTGAGATCTGAGGATCGTGGTTAGAAGCCAACCTGGGCATAACATCCATGAGACTCTCATCTCCAATCAACTACCAAAAAGCCAGAAGTGGAGCTTTGGCTCAAGTGGTAGAGCACTAGCCTTGAACACAAGAGCTCAGGGACAGGGCTCAGGCCTTGAGTTCAAGTCCCAGGATTAGCACAAAATAAAACAAAACATCTCCTATCATGTCCATGGATGAAACTGGTGTTTCATTGCCCACACTTGCCCCCGCAAGCCACACTACACATCAGTTCTGCTAGTGCAAAAGTGGGTGCAGTACCTGCAGTTTTTCCAGTTTGCAGATGCCCTAACTTCTATTCAGAAGCCCCTGACTGAGATCCCAAATATGCTCTTTGCACTGAGCAGACAGCTCATGTCCAGCACTGGGAGCCATTGGGCCCGTGTTAAAAGTGAGGCTCAGATCTGAGGCCGTGAGTACTGGGCCTGCTGCTTACTCTGTGTTGGTTTTGTAACCTGAGACACTGAGCTATGCCTTGAATTCAAACCACATGTGGTACCCACAAAAGAAAAAGTATAGATCAGCAAGAGCCTGCAGAGAATAAGTAGAGGCCCTGGAACTTAAACATAGGAATGAATGATCTATCTAAGGACCCAGGAACACTTAGGAAAATGATGGCTGGCTTTGGAGGGTGCCGGGGAGGACAGAGAAATCAGACAAACTGTGAGTACAGCGTACCAGAAATCCTGAGTTCTGTGGTGCAAGAGATCCTCTACCCATCCACCCACCCAGCCATCCATCCATCTACTCATCCATCCATCCATCCACTTGTCCATCCATCCAGCCATCATTCATCCATCTACCCATCCATCCATCCACACACCCATTTATCCATCATCCATCCATCCATCCATCCATCCATCCACCCATCTATTTACCCATCCATCCATTCCCATTCATCACTCCATCTATCCATCCATCCATCTATCCACCCACACATCCATCTACCATCCATTTTCCAACTGATACACACACACACACACACACACACACACACACACACACACACATACACATATCCATCCACTCATCCACCCATCCATCTGCTCGTCCATACATACATCGTTTCACTCATTCATCCATCCATTTATAAGGACACACTGGTTTTCAGTGGCTTCTGAGTACCAGACATGCATGGCTTGAGCCAGAAGGACTTCCTGGCTCCACCTTGGATATACACTGGACTCTTGCCTGAGCTCACCTTCAGCCATTTGATTCAGAGTCTAGGCAGTGGTGCTAGGAATCAGGATTTGAAAAAAGCTCTAGATTATCTTGATGTGCAGCCTCAATTGAAACATGGTAAGAGAAAAGACAGGCACAGGAGTTTTTGTTTTTGTTTTTGTCGGTCATGGGGCTTGAACTCTGGGCCTGGGCACTGTCCCCCAGCTCTTCAGCTCAAGGCGAGCGCTCTACCGCTTGAGCTACAAAACCACTTCCAGTTTCCTGGTGGTATATTGGAGATAAGAGTTTCATGGCCTTTCTTACCTGGGCTAGCTTTGAACCTCAATCCTCAGATTTCAGCTCCTGCGTAGCTAGGATTACAGGGGTGAGCCACCAGTGTCCCGCTTTTTTTTTTTGGTGCCAGTCCTGGGGCTTGAACTCAGGGCCTGGCTGCTGTCCCAGAGCTTTTGTGCTCAAGGCTAGTGCTCTACCACTTGAGCCACAGCTCTACTTCTGGCTTTTTAGTGGTTAATTGGAAATAAAGAGTCTCACAGACTGTCTATCCTGGACTAGCTTCAAATCGCGATCCTTAGGTCTCAGACTGCTGCTAGGACTACAGGTATGAGCCACTGATGCTGACCACGGAACACCTAGAACCTGGTTCAAGACACTCCAAGTGCAGGTATTGCAGGAAGTTAGGATGACTCTGAGATCAGCCTCAGTGGACTTTTCTAGAAGGACTGGTCAGGAATTCCCAGTGTGAGAGCTGTGAATCGTTGACTTGTGTAGGTGGAGCAGGTTAAGCTTTGTATTTGCTCTGTAGGCCATGGAAAGTTCTAGAAGTTTCCCCATGGCGGCTTAATGTTTTAAACTTTACCACAGCAGCCGTGTGGGGTCCTCTAAGGGCTTCCACGTGGGAGGCGGCTGCCAAGGTGATCTTGACTACTCACGTTTCTTTAGGACTCTGGCAACCTGGTTATGGATTTGAGAGAGATTCGGGAGCAAGCCTTGGGGAGCCCAGGTGTGAACCGCAGCCTCTTCGTCGCCACGCTCGAGCGGTGTTTCCAGGTGCTGAGCCCCCTGGAGTGTGTGGAGGTGCTGGGCAGGCTGCTGAGGGGGTCCTCGGGCAGCTTCCTCCAGCCAGAGGTGGCCCACAGGCTGCCCACAGACCTGCGGGAAGATGCCTTTAAGAACCTGTGAGTGCTTCCTGAATCCACCCATTGTCATGAGGGCAATATGGGCAGAGGGGAGGGGCCAGAGTCTCCCCCAAAGTCTGTACAGTTGTTTGCCAGATACTGGTGGTGGATGCCTGTAATCCTAGCTACTTGGGAGGCCGAGATCTGAGGATTGCAGTTTGAGGCCAGCCTACAGGAAAGTCTTTGAGACTCTTTATCTCTAGTGAACTACCCAAAAAGCTGGAAATGAAGCATCCAGGTACACACACACACACACACACACACACACACACACACACACACAATTTGTAGAATGGAAAGATTCCCCCACCCTTGATTTAAAACTGTCTCCCAAATCTTAGCCATCTGACTGGCACAATTCTTGCCACATCTGTCTCAGGATTTATGTCACCTTTGCTTTTATGGTGATGTGTGTGTATGTGTGTGTGTGTGTGTGTGTGTGTACTAGTTGTAGAGCTTAAACTCAGGGCCTGGTTGCTGTCCCTTAGCTTTTTTGCTCAAGGGTGGAACTCTACCACTTGCATCATACCTCCACTTCCAGGTTTTTGCTAGTTAATTGGAGATAAGAGTCTCTTGGACTTTTCTGGGACCCTCACATCTCAGCTTCCTGAGTAGCTAGGATTACAGGTGTGACTTCCAGTACCCAACAGCTCTGGTTATTTTTTAGATAGATTTTTCCTTCATGCCCAGGAGTGAACCTGGACTGCAATCCACCTATTTTGTACTGCCTGGAAGGAATGCAATTGCCATGGTACCAACCCAGTTCTCAGTGGAGAAGGAGACTCCAAATGTGTTATCTGGGCTGGCCTTGAACTGTGATCTTCCAGATCGCAGCTTTCCAAGTAGCTAGGATTACAAGTGTGAACTACTGGTACCTAGCTGTAAATCATCCTTTCTACTTAAAAATAATTCTGAGCCAGGTGCCAGTGGCTCATGCCTGTCATCCTAGCTACTCAGGAGGCTGAGATCTGAGGATCACGGTTCAAAGCCAGCCCGGGCAGAAAAGTCCGTGAGACTCTTATCTCCAATAAACCACCAGAAAACTGGAAGTGGCGCTGTGGCTCAAGCGGTAGAATGCTCGCCTTGAGCTGAAGAGTGCAGGGATAGCGCCCAGGCCCAGAGTTCAAGTCCCATGACCGACCAAAAAATAAATAAATAAAATTCTGATATAATTTCCATAAATGGAAAAACAGTCCCCTTTGTCTTAAGTAAAGTAACAAAAATATAGTGAAAAATGTCACTCATTCCTCGCTCTTTGTCACAGAAACAATGTAGAAAGGGAAGCTTACACACCAGCGGTCTATTCCTCACAGGGGGGCGGGGCTGCTTCTGGTTCATCCATGGCAGCTTCTATCCTTGTCCTTAACAAGACAGAAAGCCAGGGCCTCTCTGGACTCACTTTTTGTTTTTGTGCTGATACTGGGTCTTGAATTCAGACCTTAATTCTCACTGGGCTGGTTTTTTTTTTTTTTTTTTTTTTTTTTAACTCAAAGCCGGTGCTCTACCATTTGAGCCAAATCTCCACTTCCGGCTCTTTGCTGGTTAGCTAGAGATAAGAGTCTGCTGGACTTTCCTGCATGAGCTGGCTTTGAACTGCAATTCTTAGCTCTCAGCCTCCTGAGCGGCCGGGATTGCAGGCCAGCGCCACGGGCATCGGGCTTGGAGCCTTGTTTCTTGTTTCCTGAGGGCTCCTCCTCTCCAGTCTTGAGGGACCCCATGGGATTCCACTTAGAGTGGAATTCAGATTTTAAAGTGAGTTCAGAAGACCTGAATCTATCCTGCTGTTCTGCCTCTCCCTCATGCTGCCCTGTCCTCATTACCCTCCCTTATTCTCACTATTCTGTTACGCCCCTTCCCTTTTCTTGGAGGATGACACCATTAACTCAATTCTCATATCTCAGGAAACAGAAGCCTGGGGAGACTAAATAACTCATCTTAGGTCAGACTTGCAAGGAAGATGTCAGCATATTTATCCTAAAGGATGTCTGTCTGTCATTCATCTATCTATCTATCTATCTATCTATCTATCTATCTATCTATCTATCTATCTATCTATCTATCTATCTATCTATCTATCTATCTATCTATCTATCCTCGGGCTTGAACTCTGGGCTTAGGCACTGTCCTTGAGCTTTTTTTGCCCAAGACTAGCACTACCACTTTGAGCCACCGTACCTTATCCAGTTTTCTGGTGGCTCATTGGAAGAGGCTCATGGACTTTCCTGCCCAGGCTGGCTTTGAACCACAATTCTCATAACTCAGCTTCCTAAGTAGCTAGGATTATAGTGCCCAGCTGTTTATTTATTTATTTACTTATAGAACTATGTCTTGCTACCACCCTATAATCAATCTCTTGCCTGAAAAAAAAGAAAAAGGAAGAAAAGAAGAATATAAACCTATATAGAGAAGAATTTGGGTTTAAGAGGAGGTTTTTTCCTTTTTTCTTTTTGGTTGTTATAAACCAACTGGAGGGTTGTGCCAGTGGCTCATACCTGTAATCCTAGCCACCTAGGAGGCTGAGATCTGAGGTTTGTGGTTTGAAGCTAGCTTGGGCAAGAAAGTCTGTGCTCCAATTCACTACCAAAAAAGCTGGAAGTGGTGCTGTGGCTCAGGGACAGTACCCAGGCCCTGAGTTTGGAACACAGGGCTGGCACAAAAAGCCAACAAACCCACAGAGAAGACAACGGTTAAGGATTATGTGGAAAGGCTAAGAGCTATGTGGTGTGTGTAGCATGTGTATAACATTTTGCACAGCATTGCAAAGATCTGGGCTCCATTTCCAGCACCAAAGAAGTATAACAAAAAAAACCCCATGGTTCCACTCTTGGGGATGTGCCTAACACATTTTCACACAAAAACTTGTATATGAATATTTATAGTAGCATTACTTATAAAAGCAACACAGCTATGTTAACAGCTGAGCAGAGGATGAGCAAAATGTGGACAATTCATGCAATGGAATATTATTTGGCCATCAAAAAGACTGATGATGGGGCTGGGAATGTGGCTTAGTGGTAGAGTGCTTGCCCAGCAGGCATGAAGCCCTGGGTTTGATTCCTCAGTACCACATACACAGAAAAAGCCCAAAGTGGCGCTGTGGCTCAAGTGGTAGAGTGCTAGCCTTGAGCCCAGAGAGGCTCAGGGATAGTGCCCAGACCCTGAGTTCGAGCCCCAGGATTGGCAAACAAAGAAAAAACAAAAGGCTGATGCTGATCGGTGCTAGTCAATGTGTGAACCTTAAAAGCGTCATGCCAACTGGGAAAGGGGCCAGAACAGAGAGAGCATATTGCATGGCTCTGTTTAATGAGACGCGGAGAAGAGGCAAATCTGTTGAACCGGAAAGGAGAGGAGTGGTTTCCATGAGTTGAGGGGATCGGTGACAGCAGTAGCTGAGGGTATGGGGTTCCTTCTTTTCCTTCCCTTCCTTCCCTTCCCTGCCCAGGGGAGGAAAGGAGTGGAGGCAGGGAAGGGGTCTCCTGCAGTGAAGGTGGGGGGCGGGGGGGGGGCACCGGTCCCGGGGTGTCCCGCGTGCGCCCCTCCCCGGGGTGCCCCGGCCCCGGGGTGCTCCGCGTGCGCCCCTCCCCGGGCCTGGGGTGCCCTGTGTGCGCCCTTCCCTGGGGTGCCTGGCCCCGGGGTGCCCGGCCCCGGGGTGCCCTGTGTGCGCCCCTTCCCCGGGGTGCCCGGCCCCGGGGTACCCTGCGTGCGCCCTTCCCCGGGGTGCCCGGCCCCGGGGTGCCCTGCGTGCGCCCTTCCCCGGGGTGCCCGGCCCCGGGGTGCCCGGCCCCGGGGTACCCTGCGTGCGCCCTTCCCCGGGGTGCCCGGCCCTGGGGTGCCCTGCGTGCGCCCTTCCCCGGGGTGCCCGGCCCCGGGGTGCCCGGCCCCGGGGTGCCCTGCGTGCGCCCTTCCCCGGGGTGCCCGGCCCCGGGGTACCCTGTGTGCGCCCTCCCCCGGGGTGCCCGGCCCCGGGGTACCCTGCGTGCGCCCCGCAGGTCCGCCGTGCTCGGGGAGCTCTACGACCGAACGCCGGCCCGCGCGCGAAGCGCCTGCTACTCCTGGATGACCCGGACTCTGCGCCCACCCGTGGGTGAGTCCACGCGGGAGGCGGGCGTGTGAGTGTGCGTGCGTGTGTGCGTGTGCGTTCTACCCTCAGTTGACTCGCTTCAGGCCGGGCATCATCCTAGCCACTCAGGAGGCTGAGGGCTGAGGATCGCCATTTGAAGCCAACCCCAGGCAGGAAAGTTGATGAGACTCTTCTCTCCAAAGAACCACCAGCAAAACCAGAAGTGGAGCTGTGGCTCAAGTGGTAGAGCGCTTTGTGCACAAAAGCTCTGGGACAGTACTCAGGTCCTGAGTTCAAATCCCAGGACTGGCTCATGCACACACACACACACACACACACACACACACACACACACACACACACACACACACACACACACACACACACACACACACACCAGGTGCTTTACCTCGAAGGAGGAGGCTGAGGTATTGTTCTGTGACCCTCCTGGCCTCCCCCTCCCTTCCCTTCACATAGGATCTGATGTGGTTTGCCTAGTGAATTAGCCCAGGAGCTTAGCTGAGCTTCCTGGCAACCAGTGGGAAAGTAGGTCAGAAATCAGTTATTTGGCGCATAAGTCCTACAGTAGCTTAGTTCAGGGTCTCAGAAATTGGGTTTTTATTATTTTTCAACAACAACAACAATTTTTCTGCCAGTCCTGGGACTTGAACTCAGGGCCTGGGCACTGTCTCTTACCTTTTTCACTCAACGATGGCACGCTACCACTTGAATCGCAGTTCTAGTTACGGTTTTTTGGTAGTTAACGGAGATAAGAGTCTCACGGACTTTCCTTCTTGGACTCTTTGAGTTGTGATCCTCAAAGCTCAGCCTCCTGAGTAGCTAAGGTTTTATTTTATTTTACTTTTTGTGGTTCTGGAAATGGAGCCCAAAGCCTCCAGTGAGTGCTGTTTCCCTTGAGTTACAATCTCAGATTTGATAGCTGTTATTCTGGGAGTGGGTCACCACCCTGGCCCAGACTTTGGTTTCTGTGAGATGCAGATTTGTCTCGGTAAGGATGGCCGGTGGTGGTGATAGGAGAATGTGAGCGGTCTAGGCAGATTGAACCACTGGAGATGGAAAACACCGGAAAGACTCAGCTGTGGTGGCTCACACCAATCAGGAAGCTGGAATCAGGAGGCTGGCCTAGGCAAAAAGCAAGACCTTATGTGAATAAAATAAAATAAAAGCCAAAAGGGCTAGGGGGCATGCTAGAATACTTGCTTAGTGAGTTCAAGGCCCTGGATTTCAACCCCAGTACCACCCAAATAAACAAAAACATTATTGGAAAGAAATTTTATTTGTACTGAGCATGTACAGGTTCTTGTCACCCCTAAACCATACACTGTAGCAACCGTTCAGGGCATTTTAAGGTTAATTCTAGGCTGAGCTAACTACTGGAGTATGCATTAGCTCCATGTACATACAATGCTACATAGCTGTGTATCTATCTATATGTACCAAAGCCTATATATATATATATATATATATATATATATATATATATGCATATGCTGGTACTGGGGCCTGAACTCAAGGCCTAGACACTGTCCCTTAGCTTCTTTGCTCAAAGCTGGTGCTTTACCACTTGAGCTATACAGCTCTACTTCTGGCTTTTTGGTGGTGCATTGGAGATAAGAGTCCCACAGACTTTCCTCCCTGGGCTGGTTTCAAACCATGATCCTCAGATCTCAGCTTCCTAAGTAGCTACAATTACAGATGTGAGCTACCAGCACCCAGCACCATTTTATATAATGGCCTGGGAGGGGGTCTCCACAGATACTGGGGTTCACCAGATTCATAGGTTGGAGATTGCCAAGCCCTGTACTGGGGAACTGGGGAAGATCTCTTGGATGGTTGTCATTGAACTTAAGACAATTGAGATACATTCTTCTATATGAGGTGAGAGGAAGGTATTCCAGAGAGAGACTTGAAAGTGCTAATAATAATAATAATAATAACAAATGATACTAGTAAAAGAAATCAGGGCTCAGTGGTAGAGTGAGGCCCTGGGTTCGATTCCTCAGCACCACATAAGCAGAAAAGGCCGGAAGTGGCGTTGTGGCTCAACTGGTAGAGTGTTAGCCTTGAGCTGAAGGACTGAGGGACAGTGCCCAGGTCCAGAGTTCAAAAAAAAAAAAAATAAAATAAAATAAAAAGAAAGAAAGAAAAAAAGAAATCACATATAAAGAGATCCAGTGGAGCCCTGGGAATGTGGATCAACCCTTTTCTTGGAATCACATTCTGAAATTTGCCCGCAGTGTAAAAATCCATGTCATTTATGCATAGCAGAATTCTCCCTACCTGGTGCCTAATTATGGCTAGCAGGGATCCGAGTCTCCTGCCAATTAACCCTGAGAAAGTCATTCCGCCTTCATGCTTCCCTGAGTCTTTCTTGCCAGTGTCTAATTAGGGACGGATTTTCTTTCTAAAATTCTGTGGTGGCAAGTGTCATTTTTCAACGACATTGAATTAAATCCTTTGTATTGGAGTTGTGCATTCTCCTCCCGAATGTCCTTGGGTACCAGGATGACTTTGGCTGACAAAAATATTCCGTGATAGCTGAGTCCTGCTGGCTCATGCCTGTAATCCTAGCTACTCAGGAGGCTGAGATCTGAGGATCACTGTTCAAAGCGAGCCTGAACAGGAAAGTCAGTGAGACTCTTCTCTCCAATAAACCACCAGAAGACTGGAGGTGGTGCTGTGGATCAACTGGTAGAGCACTAACCTTGAGCTAAAGAGCTGAGGGACAGTGCCCAGGCCCAGATTTCAAGCCCCAGGACCAATGCACCCGAGCACACGTGTGTGTGTGTGTGTGTGTGTGTGTGTGTGTGTGTGTGTGTGTTCCATGAGAGTGGCTTATGCCTGTAATCCTAGCTCCTCAAGAGGCTGAGATCTGAGGATCAAGGTTCAAAGCCAGCCTGGGCAAGAAAGTCCTTGAGATACTTATCTCCAATTAACCACCAGAAGTGGTGCTGTGGTTCAAAGGGCTAGAGCACTAGCCTTGAGCAAAATTGCTCAGGGACAGGACACAGGCCCTGAGTTCAAGCCCCATAACTGACTATATATATAATATCTTATATATATATATATATATATCTCCCATATTTGAGAGGCATTACTGGTCTGCAGTGATAGAGTTACTGCTTATTAATAAAGGGAAAGAAGGAACTTAGTTTGGTTCTTGTTGAATTTTGTGGTGCTCTACCATTTGAGCCACAGTTCTATTTTCACCTTTTTACTGGTTGTTTGGAGACAAGACTCTCATGGATTTTCCCATCCAGGCTGGCTTAGAACCTTGATCTTCCTGATCTCAGCCTCCTGAGTTGCTAGGATTCCAGGGTTAAGCCACCAGTGATTGAAATACTTGTGTTTTTATTCATCGTAAGTATTTATTGATTTATTTGTACTTTGCAGATGGCTCTGTTTCCTGGGTTAGTGCAGAAAACTTATGGATTTTGGGAAGATATATGGTTCACCTACCACTTGAAGAAATTCGTAGAATTAGTCCTGTAGAAGTAAGTTGGAAATGGCTGTCTGTATGTCTGTATTAGTAATGAGTATGGGGTGAGATCTGTCAGTGTTTTGCTCACTAAGGTATCCTGGAAACAGCACTGGCCTTAGTCCAATACAGCTGTTGCTGCTGCTACCTCCTCTTCCTCCTCTTCTTCCTCCTCCTTCTCCTCCACCTCCTTTTCCTCCTCCTCCTCCTCCTCCCCCTTCTTCTTTTGCATGAGATCTGGACTTGAACTCAGTATCTGACACTTTTCTCTAATTGGCTGGTGCTCTACCACCTGTGCCACACCTCCAATTTCTAGTACCTCTTCTTCTAAAGAAAATTTGGATCTACGTGACAGTAGCTCATACTTGTATTCCTAGCTTCTCAAGAGGCTGAGATTGGAGGATCATGGTTTGGCCTCAACTCTGCAGAAAAGGCCCCATGAGACTCTTATCTTCAGTGAACTACTCAAAAACTGGAAGTGGAGCTGTGGTTCAAAGTGGTAAAGCACCAGCCTTGAGTGAAAGAGCTCAGAGAGACAGCATCCAGGCCCTGACTTCAAGCCCTATGACTAACAAAACAGAACAAGACAAAAACAGAAAACTTGGAACATGGCCTGGAGTGGTCCATGGTACAGTTCTAGAGTTTTAGCCCAGGAGAGCTAAGAATCGAAAAAGCATGGTAGACAAATGACAAGTACTGATAGGAATAAACTGGATACTGAGGCAATGTTGGCTTTGAGCCGAGTCTTGGCGGCCATGTTAGTTCTTAAGAAAGTCAAGGTCAACAGCTATGGAATCTCTACTTCTCACAAACACAAAGGCCGTTTGAATTGCTAGCTACTTCTAATCACAGCAGCTTCCTTTTTTTTTTTTTTGTCGGTCATAGGGCTTGAACTCTGGGCCTGGGCCCTGTCCCTCAGCTCTTCAGCTCAAGGCGAGCGCTCTACCACTTGAGCTACAGCGCCACTTCCGGTTTTCTGGTGGTTTATTGGAGATAGGAGTCTCACGGTCTTTCCTGCCCGGGCTGGCTTTGAACCGCGATTCTCAGATCTCAGCCTCCTGAGTAGCTAGGATTACAGGCGTGAGCCACCAGCGCCCGGCTCACAGCGGCTTCTATGAAGAACTCCTTTAGCGCCAGCGATGCCTGGATTTGAAGTGTAACATTTGCAGTGCAGCATTGTAGGTGTCTAATGTTACGCAAATCACCAGCCAACCTGGCTCTGTCCTGGCACTGACTCAGTGACATCAAAACCCTGGAAAATCACGACTCTCCAACGCCAGCACTGAAGTCCTCCTGAGGACACCAGTGCTTGCCTCCGAATCCAGAACACAAAATACCACGTCTCTCTCCTGGCCAGTGAGAGAAGAGACCCCATTAAGTGACTGGCTTGCTTCTGCTATTGACAGAAGTAGAGTTGGGTGCCTGCGGCTCCGGCTTGTCATCCTAGCTACCCAGGAGGCTGAGATCTGAGGGTGGTGGTTCAAAGCCAGCTGTGCAGAAAAGTCTGTGAGACTCTCATTCTCCCATTAACCAGACAAAAGCTGGAAGAGGAGGTGTGGCTCAAATGGTAGAGCACCAGCCTTGAGTGTAAAAGTCAAGTGAGAGCATGAGTTCAAGCCCCAGTACTGGCACAAAAGAAAGAAAGGAAAAAAAGGAAGGAAGGAAACAAGGAAGAAAAGAAGGAAGGAAGAAAAAGAAAAGTGGACACTTTGAGTATTAGCACTGAGAGAGAAGGATTTTGGATTCTGTGTAGACAAAGATAAAACCCAGGAGGGCGAGACAATTGTATGATCCCCTTTAAATAGGATTCTAGTACATTAGACTCTGTGAGAAATACCAAGAAAAATGGATAAGGCCCTTTAGTAGCAGAGCCTCTCACCATCTAGGCAAAAAGGAAGGGTGTAGAGAAACTGGATGAAGTATTCAATATGATTTACAGTATACACGCCAAGCTTTGTAGCAACAAGGAGAATCCAGTCTTCCCACCATGAGGGTCATTTATAAAGTTGCTCATTTAATTAAAAAAAACCTAAAACCTCTGACTCTTCAAAGCAGAAAATTTGTAGATTGTGTCCCTTGATCTTAATATAACAAATGTAGGAATTAAGGTGCCAAGATGAGCTTTGAAGAAGTTGAATGGGTAGACTATTCACACGTGAGGCAGAAGGTAGAGACCATGAAGACATCCAGTTCAGGGCTGCGGACATAAAGTACTTACCTAGAGGGACAGAGGGCGAAAGAAAAAGAGAGAGAATGAATAAGGTCACTCAAGAATAGAATATTTGGGGTGGGCCACACATAGGCCATCAGGATGGGGTCCCCTGGAGCCCCAAAACGGCCCCTGATCCTCTTATCCTGACCCTTCCCACCCATCAGATGGGGCTGTTCATCAGCTATGACAACGCCACCAAGCAGCTAGACACCATCTACGACGTCACCCCCGAGCTAGCGCAGGCGTTTCTGGAGAGGATTGGCTCCTCCAGCTTTGACATGAGGAACATCTCAACCATCCACAGGTCAGGGCCTGGGGCCGGGGTGGGGGCGGGGAGGTGGCTGAGTTCGGTTTGAATGGCCATCTCCATGCTGGTGGTGGGGGTGGGGGGTTGTCTGCCCCTCTGGCGCCCTCTGGAGGCTTGTCTGGGTCTCTTACACCATCCTCTCCAATGATGTTCTGTGTGTGTGTGTGTATTGGTCCTGGGGCTTGAACTTGAGGCCCGGGCACTGTCTCTGGGCATTGTTTTTTTTGTATATTTTTTGCTCAAGACTGGCTCCTCTACCGCTTGAGTCACAGCTCCCCTGTTGGCCTTTTGGTGGTTACCTGGATATAAGAATCTCACAGATTTTTCTGCCCAGGCTGGCTTTGAACTATGAGCCTCTACATATGGCATGACTCTATGTAGCCAGCTTGTGGAGAAGTTATATAAATACCTCATAGATCTAGGTCTCAGACTCTGGTTGGCTCTAAAGCACTAACTACATACTTTACTTCCGGTTAGGCCAGAGTTTGAATCTCAATGCCAGGGCATTCTTTAGCCTCCTGGTGGTCCCTACTTCTTTGGAAACCTTTAATGTAGTCCCTTTCCTCAGGCCCTCTACTCTTCCCAGAAGGAGAGATGACTATCAGCTGATTTAAGTCCTCAGGTTCCTCCACTTCCCCAAGAACTCCCTTATCTCCCAGCGTCTCAGTTTGCCCTTCTGTGAAATGGGTCAATGTGACCTCTGGTCTCTAGGATGGGCATAGTAAAGGGCTCAGGCTGATACTGGAGAGTCACTTCTGCTGTGATGGTGACCGTGTGTATGTGGGGGCTGTGAGGCTGCAGGTCCCCCAATCTACTAGCCACAGCCCCCTCCTCTTCTCCCCTAGGCTAGGGCTGCTGGTTTGTTTCTATGATGACCTGGAGCCGCTGGACGCTGCGTTGGCCCGCGTCCTCCTTCACCAGATGATCAAGTGTAGTCGCCTGCGCAGCTCCCGGGCAGCTGTCCAGCAGGTACCGATGTGGACGCAAGGTCCCGGGCTTGGGCTGGGCCATGGATCAGGGAACTGAGGAGCAACACATGTGGCCTGGCCTGGCCCTTGCTTAGGAGTAGACACATAGTGTTCGTGAGGACCTAAATCCTGGCTCCAGCAGGTGGCGCTGTCAACCCTGGGATGGGCCGGGCCCTGCCAGACTAGACAGGGGTTGGGTCATCTGGGGATCTTTGCACCTTGGGACTGAGGAGGCCCAGGACTAGGCCTGCGGGCGAGGCTGAGTTTTACACTGGGCCACCAGTGAGTGAGACCCCATGGGATTTCTTAGGGGCAGTGCCTTGGCCATAGTGTGGTCTTGTAGTTCCTCAGAGTTCCAGAGAAGCCAGGATGGAGAGCCCTGGATTGGTGAGGTTCTGTGTTTCCTGAGCCCCCAGAGCAGGCTTGGGACAGCCCGGCAAATGCAAACCATCTCCCCTCCTCGTCCAGCTCACCTCACCCCCACTCAGATTGCAATTCTGTCCTCTTCTCTTCCTTCTTTTGGCCTCTCAAGAAAAAGCCAAATTATTGATATAGCCATCAATAACTGGGCATGGACTGTCTGTCTGTCTGTCTGTCTGTCTGTCTCACACACACACACACACACACACACACACACACACACACACACACACACTTCTGACGTCCCTGATCCAATAAGACACTGGCATGCCACGTGGTGGCCATCTAGCTCCCGTCAATGTGTTTTGGTTTTCAAAGAGAAGAAAACCTTATCCAGATCCTCCAACAAGCACATACATGTATTTTATGGCCGCAAGGGAGTCTTGATCAAGAAGAAAGCCAAATGTAATTCCATATGGGGGAGCCCTTTGTTATCTTCCTAGCTCACTCCTTTCAGTTTGGAGATATCTGGGGGGGGGGGGGGGGGGGTGACTGGGTGGCTCCTAGCAACGCAGATGGTTGGCCAGTCCCCATCTCTGGGCAGGTTGGAGGAGATGGGGCAAGAGGCGGCTGCTATCTTTCTTGTATTTCACTCTACTGCCCCTCGTGGCCATTTCGAGATTGCACATAAGAGTTGTGAGCACATAAGAATTGTGAGTGAGGTCTTAGGGCCGCTCTTAGAGAGCCAGGTGTCAAACCCCTGCCGTCTGCGCCATTGCTACACAGGCGATGCCTTCCTTTACCAGCACAGACTGAAGCACACTTCACTGTGATTGCATGGGCACGCTGCGATAAAATAGTTGTTAAAACCATCCTACTAGTGTGCAAATGTGCATATGACATGCTCTTACGTGAAAATATAGAGCACACAATTGCACTTCTGTTCATACTTTCTGTAAAAATGACATATATAGCACCCGAGGCTCACACCTGCAATCCTAGCTACTCAGGAGGCTGAGCTCTGAAGATCACAGCTCAAAGCCAGCCCTGGCAGGAAAGTCCATGAGAATCTCCTCTCTCTCTCTCTCTCTCTCTCTCTCTCTCTTTCACACACACACACACACACACACACAAGCCAGAAGGGGAGGTGTTGGCTCAAGTGGTAGAGTACCAGACTCGAGTGAAAAACTAAGAGCCATTGTTAGACCTTGAGTTTTAGTCCCAGTGATGGCACAAAAGTTTAAAGCCAAAAAGGACACTATTTTTATAAAGACACAGGAGGACTTGGAAGGATATATGCCCAGTTTTATTTTTGTCAGTCCTGGGGCTTGAACTCAGGGCCTGGGCACTGTTTCTGAGCTTCTTTTGTTCAAGGCTAGTGCACTATCACTTGAGTTCACAGCTCCACTTCTTGATTTTTTAGGTGGTTAATTAGAGATTAGAGTGTCCTGCCTGGGCTGGCCTTGAACTTCAATCCTCAAATCTCAGCCTCCTGAGTGGCTAGGCTTACAGATGTGAGCCAGCTGCTCTCAAGTCGCTTTAACTTTCTTGTACTGTTGCAAATTCTTTTTACATAGATTGTTTTTTATGAAAAAGCTCCTGGCTCACACCTGTAGGTCTAGCTACTCAGGAGGCTGAGATCTGATGATCCCAATTTGAACTCAGCTCAGCAAGAAAGTCCATGAGACTCTTTTTAAAAATAAGTTTTTTGTTATGAAAATACTGTTCAGAGGGGTTACAGTTACATGAGCCATGAGACTCTTGCAGTCATAAGCCAGAAATGGAGATGCAACTTAAGTGGTAGGGCACCAGCCTTGAGTGAAAAAGCTAAGGGACAGTTTTCAGGCCCTGAGTTCTGAACCCTAGTACCGGTTCAAAAACAGCAGCAGCAGCCACAACACCCATCTATATGGATATAGAGTTCAAAGTCACAAAAGGAAAATGGCTGCTATAAGAATGCACAGAATGGAGCTGTGGCTGAAAGTGGTAGAACGCTGGCCTTGAACAGAAAACCTGAGTTCAGGCCCTACAACTGACATAAACAAAACAAAAACAACCAAAGAATGCACTGGAAGGAGGGTGCCAGCGGCTCATGTCTGTACTCCTACCTGCTCAGGAGATAAGATTTGATGATGGTGGTTCAAAGCCAGTCCTGGCTGCAAAGTCATGAAACTCTTAGCTCCAACAAACTAAGCAGAAAAATCCAGAAGTGGTGCTGTGGCTCAGGTGGTAGAATGTAACCTTGAAAGAGTCTCAGAAACAGTGCTCAGGACACGAGTTCAAGCCCCAGGACAAGCACACACACACACACACACACACACACACCCACAAATGAGCACTGGAAATGAGGTTCTGGTAGCTCACACCTGCAATCCTAGCTACTCAGGAAGCTGAGCTCTAGGATTGTGGTTCAAAGCCAGCCTGGGCAGGAAAGTTTATAAGACTCATCTCCAGTGAACCACTAAAATGCCAGAAGTAGAGCTGTGGGCTCAAATGGTAGAGCACCTACCTTGAGCAAAAAAGTGTAGGTTTCCTGAGTTTGAAGCTCTGAGTTCAAGCTGTAGGACTGATATAAAAAAAAAGACAAGAAAAGAAAAAATAGAACTCACAGGAGTTGGAAGGAAACAAGTGTTCTTCTTACCAGGTGTAAGGATGATCTAGTGTAGCTGCACTTTAATACTTAAGTCCAAAGTGAATTTTCAACGGATTAAAGCCACAGGCAGAGGAGACACTGTTGGTGTGGGAGCCATTTTGTTTATGGTCCCTGGGTCCAGAAGGCTGGAGTGGGCCAGTTCTGGAGGAAGCTGAGTCCTTCTACCCCAAGTATAGGCTCAGGGGCGGCCACCCTGCTGTCTGCCAACGCTCATTCCCATCTTCTGTCTCCCAGCTCAAGGCTGACCTCCTTCACATAGCCAAAGAGAACCAGACTCTCAACGACACCCTGGGCTCCTTGTCGGATGCCATCGTGGGGCTGACCCACCGTCAGCTGGAGTGCCTCTCCCCCGAGGCTGTGCACCGCGCCATCTCCACCCTCAACCAGGTCTCAGGCTGGGCCAAGAGCCAGATCATCATCTTGTCTGCCAAGTACTTGGCCCACGAACAGGTCAGCTGGCACCTCTGACTTGCCTGAGCCAAGGCCCAGGGTGTGTCAGCAAAGGCTTTCGCCACAAAATATGATCCATTAGGGGGCGCCAACAAAAGACGGTTCTTGGAGGTTGGGAGGTTCAAGGTCAAGATGCTGGTTGGGTGGATTTCCTGCTGAGGTTCCTTCTGGGTATGCGGTGGCGGCCATCTTGTGCTGCATCACGTGACCTCAGTGAACACAGGCCCCCCCCTGGCCCCTATTGGAAGGGCACAGATCACATTAGTTTACCTGCACTCCTGTAGTTATTTCAAGACCTCATCAAACCCCAGGTATACCTCCCAAGGCCTCATCATGGGATGCTATCATATTGTTGGGTTTTGGCCTCAGTGAGCTTTGTGGGGGGCACAAATAGTCTCCCCATAACAGCCAGTTGTATTCATCTCTAGCAGGAGCAATGGATGAGTAAGGAGTCAGGGCTGAGGGCTATTTAACTGCAGCTCTCATTCTGACTTCTCAAGCCATGTGGCTTGGGACACTTGCTTATTAGCATTGAATTGGGGGGTGGTGAAGGCTGTTTTATTCCCCCCCTCCCCCAGCTCTGGTTAGAGTTATCTTCTGTCTAATGCCCCAACCAATCTCGCTCTCTTCCCCTCTCTCTTTCCCCTCTCTCTGTCTCCCTCCCCACCTCCCAGCTTGATCTCAGGCTCAGGGCCTGGGTTCGGTTCCTTAAGCTCTTCTGCTCCAGACTAACTCTCTACCACTTGAGCCACAGCTCCATGTCTGACTTTTTGCTGGAGATTAGAGTCTTTTGGATTTGTCTACCCTGGGTGGCTCTGAACCTCAATTCTCAGATCTCAGCCTCCTGAGTAGCTAGGATGACAGGCATGAGCCACCAGTGTCTGGCTTTCAATGCTTTTCTCTTATGCAGACTGCAGCTTGCAAAGAGAAATCCCCAAGCATGGAAATGAATTTTTTTTAATAGGAAGGTGGAGGAAGGAAGGTTCCAAAGCTCTGTATCTGACTTGATCACATTGGCTTCCCTAGCTGTCACTCATCCCAGCCCCTGGCGCTAGAGGCGGGCTCAGAGGGTGTGGTGGTGGGGATGGGGAGGCTCAGTAGAGCCTCATTGTCCCTGGTGTTTTCTGCCAGGTTCCATCATTCCACAGCCTCAGCCAGATGGGGGCGCTGCTGGCAGGTGTGGGCACGCAGGCCCTCTACAGCATGGAGCACAGGGAACTCTTGCAGGCCCTGAGAAGCACTGTCTCCCTGCACCTGTCGGAGCTGTCACCTGTCCAGCAGCAAGGGATCCTGAGCAAGGTGAGAGGCAGAGGCCTGCTCCTCCGCTGGGAGGCCCATGGAGCACAGGGCTTGGCGCTTCTCCGAGTGGCTCTGACCTTGGACCATTCATTCATTCAGGGCTGAGATTTTCTTAGCTGAGATGGATGGTAGGGGGTCTGGAACCCAGAAAATGCCCCTTCCCGATGCCTTACCTCTCCCTTGGCCCATTGAAGCTAGAAGACTCTTCTTGAACCAGATTTCCTGACCTATAACCTCTGTCTGTCTGTCTGTCTGTCTATCTGCTTGTCTGTCTGTCTATCTGCTTGTCTGTCTCTCTGTCTTTCTCTTCCACACCCGAGTTAGGCACTGTCCCTAAGCCTTTTCACTCAAGGCTGGTGTGGTGTTCTACCACTTGGGACACAGCTTGACTTTCAGATTTTTGCTGCTTCATTGGAGATAAGAGTCCCACAAACTTTCCTGCTGGAGCTGGCTTTGAACCTCAGTCCTCAGATCTCTGCCTCCTGAGCAGCTAGGACTACAGGCGTGAGCCACTGGGCTGATGTCTAACATCTTAGAAGTTTGTATTTCAACTTAACAATCTTGGGATTCCAAGCTGCATGTGAAAGCCCATCCCAAGGCCCCAAACCGCCTGTCTGCCTCTCACTGGACAGCGGTCTTTGTGGATTCCTGGCTTTTTCGGGTGGCTGTGTCCAATCATGAAGGGGTGTGGCCTCAGACCTCCCCCTTGTACTCCCGCAGCAGCACATGTGGCTAGAAGGAAGCCTGTGGGGCTGGGGTGGGAATCACACTTACTGGCTTCTGTCTCAGTTGGTTCATTTGTAAAACGGGGACAATGAAGACTCCTACTTCATATGCCTGCTTAGCAGGTCTGGTGGGCAGACTGCCCAGGGAGGGGTGTCCAGCTCAGACCCAAATCTCAATGGTTTCAACACAAGGCGGTCACTGTGTTTCTCTGACTTTCTGCAGCTGGTAGAGGGAGGAGACCCTGCCTCAGGCATTGCGCAGATCCCAGGGTCTTTCTTCAAGGAAGTGTCTCTCTTTGATTTATGGAGGGAGCCACAATTCAACGCCACGGCCCTGAAGGACAAGGAGCTTCGAAGAGGCCAGGTATGACTATGGTGATCTTTCCTTCCCTCCCTCCCTCCCCTCCCTCCCTCCCACCCATCGTCCCTCCCTCCCACCCACCATCCCTCCCTCCCTTCCTCCCCCCTCCCTCCCTCCCTCCTTCCTTCCTTCCTTCCTGTCTTTATTTCATAGTCTCTTTCTCTCAGCCCAGGGTCTCATGCACACTAGACAAGTGCTCTATCACCAAGCTGCCCCTTTTGCTACACCGATCTTCTATTTCTGACAGCCTTGTGGTGGTTGGCGGGGCGAGGGGGGATTTGTTTTGGGTTAATTTGGTAGAAGCCACTTATTTATATCTGTGTGGTTAAATGTAGGAGACAGAACGGCCTGGTGTTAAGAAGTTATACAAGACTTGTATGTGAATTCGAGCTCCCATGTTTTTATTTGTGTTGGGGAATCTCCTTTTCCTTTCAATGCCTCAATTTTCTCTTGTGCAAAATGGGTATGGGGGGACATTCATGAGGATCTGGGGGGCATGCCATTGGACGTGAGCGGTGCATGGTGAATGTTAGTGGGCATTGTGTCTGGCCCTGAACCTCTAGAACTTTTTCTAACCTCTTTTCAATTAGTCCACTGTCGTTTTCTTACCTTGACCCTTCCATGCCTGTGTCTGGAGAAGACATAGAAATGAGCAAGGCAGGGCTGGGAAGGTGGCTCAGTGGTAGAGCGCTTGCCTTGCATGCCTGAGGCCCTGATTTCTATTCCTCAGCACCACATAAGCAGAAAAAGCTGGAAGTGGCTCTGTGGTTCAAGAGCTGGAGTGCTAGCCTTGAGCTGAAGAGCTGAGGGACAGCGCCCAGGCCCAGAATTCAGGCCCATGACCGGATCACCCCCCCCCCCCCCCCAAAAAAAAAAGAGCAAGGCAGGTAGGATCCCTGTCAGTTTGGGGGTTTTGCTTGGGGTATCTCATGAGGCTAGATGATGTTACCTCAAGCTATAGATGTGTAACAACCAATCAAATTCAATCACTGGAGCAATCTTGTGTGTGTGTGTGTGCGCATGTGCGTGCAAAAGCCAGGTTTGAACTCAGGACCTGGGTGCTCTCTCTCAGCTCCCCCTCTCCCCCTCCCCCCTGCCCCAGGACTTGAGCCACAGCTCTACTTCTGGCTTCTTTTACTGTTGTTGTTGGTTAATCAGATCAAAGAGTGGCACAGGCTTTCCTGGCGTTGAACTGTAATCCTCAGATCTCAGTCTCCTGAGTAGCTAGGATTATAGGCATGAGCTACTGGTACCTGGAACCATCATTTGAGTTTGTATAGCACATCCTGACTTAGACTGTCCCAGTCATTGAGTGATGCAGCTGTGGGGAGGACCATGGCAGGAGACACACAGACCGGACCAGGCTCGGAGACACCAAGCACCGTGAGAACAAGACTTCAATGGTGGCCTTTTAGATCCCCTGTTTGATGGGCAGGCACACCCAGAGCGCTTACAGCTATCCATGTGTTCCCGGATGCTCAAGTCCCTCCTCTGGTTCCTCATTGGCTGGATGCTCAAGTCTCTCCTCTGGTTCCTCATTGGCTGGATGCTATGGGACAATCTTCCCGGTCTTCTTTTCTTTTTCTTTTTTGTCAGTCCTGGGGCTTGAACTCTGGGCCTGGGCGCTGTCCCTCAGCTCTTCAGCTCAAGGCAAGCGTTCTACCACTTGAGCCACAGCGCCACTTCTGGTTTTCTGGTGGTTAATTGGAGATAAGAGTCTCACGGACTTTCCTGCCCAGGCTGGCTTTGAACCTGGATCCTCAGATCTCAGCCTCCTGAGTAGCTAGGATTACAGGCGTGAGCCACCGGCGCCTGGCCCAATCTTCTTTTCTATTGACTAATTGTTAACGCATGCACACTTGGGGATTAGTTGATTTTAGAAGCGGGCTTTGGTTGTCTCCACCCCGCCCCCACCCCCCCTCCTTGTTCTCTTGCGGCAGTCCGGCTTTTCTGGATAGGTGCTTTCCTGATTTCTGTTTTCATGGTGGTTCATCTTTCCTCCTGTCAGTTGGCACCTTTCTAATGTCCTGTTTGTTCACCCTGTTTGTCTAGGGACCCTCCAGTTGCATGAACTTTTTGCGATCGCCCTGTCAGCAAACTTGTATAAGAAAGCATGTAGTAACTTCTATTTTCTATGGTGTGTTAGTACTGGAGCTTGAACTCAGGGCATGCCTGTACACTGCCCCTTAGCTTAGTCATTCAAGGCTGGTGCTTTACCACTTGAGCCATACCTTCATTTCTGGCTTTTTGCTGGTTAACTGGAGATGAGTCTCTTGGCTTTGTCTGCCTGGGCTGGTTTCAAACTGTGATCCTTAGATCTCTGATTCTGGAGTAGCTGGGATTATAGGCTGGAACCACTGGTGCTCTGCACCTAGTAAGTTTTCATTCAGGGTCAGATGCTTTTGTTGAAAATGAATCAATGACCACTGATTTTATTTCCAGTATGTAGGAGGTTCCCCAAGCCTGATCTTGTGTCTTGTGGGGCTGTGCATGCAGTGTCTGGAACATTCCTCCACCCTTGATCCCTGGGCCCAGGCCTTTATTCAAGACCACAACCATCGCATCACAGCCACCATCAACGCTGGCTCATCATTTAGTCTATTTGGGGATAATGTTCCAGATTGCAGAGTCTATAAAAGAGACAAATGTTATTCTTGATTGCATCTGCAAGTTAGGCACTTTGTACAAGGCATTCCTTCAAACAAACGTGTCCCAAGCCTCCCACATATCTTTCTTGACTGTTCTCTAGGGAGGGCCTAAGCCAGTATAGGTCTAAAGAAGCTTCTGTACTGATAGCCCAAGCTATCTGTTCAGCATCAGGACACCGTGGGCTCAGGACTGGCAGGTGGACAGGTCAGCAGGGGCTACAGAGAGACGGCCGGCAGCTTCATAAAATGCAGGAAGAAATACCACAACCCTGCCATGTGCTCAGCAGGCCTACAGAATCATCTGGAATGTAACAGCTCTGGAGTTACACTGGTCCTTGTTCAAATCCCCCCTCAGCCACTTAGGAATGGTACAGTTCTAGCCCAGCCTCTGATTCCCCAGGGATAAACGAAGTCAGATGATCTGTGCCTACTTGGTTTCAATGGGCAGTGCTCTGCTCAACTGTCAGTCATAATACAGAAGCATTTATATCTATCTCTAGGTATATGTAAAATTGTGTGTGTGTGTGCGTGCGTGTGCGTGTGTGTGTGTGTGTGTGTGTGTGTGCGCGTGTGCATGTGCACGCACATGTGTGCCAAACCTGGGGTTGGAACTCAGGGCCTGGGTGCCATTCCCAAGCCTTTTCGCTCAAAGCTAGTGCTTTACCACTTGAGCCATAGCTCCTCTGCTGACTTTTTTGGTAACTAACTGGAGATAAGAGGCTCATGGATTTTTCTGCTCAGGCTAGCTTTGAACTGAGATTCTCAGATCGCTAGGATTATAAAAGTGTGAGCCACTGGTGTCCGATCCTAGCTCTATTTTTGAATTTTTAACAAATTGATATTATAAAGGTGATATACAAAGGGGTAACAGTTACACACGTCAGGTAATGAGTACATTTTGGACAACGTCACCCTTCCCTTGCTTTCTCTCCATTCCCCCTCCCACCTCCTCCCACAAGTAATGTAGTTCATTTTCAACTGAGTGACTAACGAGTACCATTGCTGCATTTGTTTATCCTCTGTCCCTCCATTTTTGTGCCTCCTCTTACACTCCCAAAGACATCTAAATGAATAAAGAAAAAGACAAAAGGAAAAAAACAGCAAAAAAGCAAAGAAAAACCCTCGTTTCAATTTCCTGGAGTTCCTTTCAGTAAGTATTATTCTGTACGATCAGATGCACAGAAGCATGGCACCCTTCTGTTCTTCTCCTGAGAGTATCCTCCTTTGGTCTCACGGTGTGTGGATGGATGCCTAGACTTCTGTATAATGTATTGTCATCTATCCTGATGTATTTTAGATTTAGCTTTCGAATATGAGAGAAAACATGTGCCATTTGTCTCTCTGAGGTTGGCCTACTTCACTTCACATGATTTGTTCCAGGTCCACCCATTTCCTGCAAATAACATAATACGCTTTCTAAGAGATGATTCATTGTCTGTAGGTACCACATTTTCACGATCCACTCTTCTATTCTGGGGAATCTGAGCTGTCTCCATGGCTTGGCTAGTGTGACTAGTACAGCAATGAACATGGGTGTGCAAGTGTCTTTAGGGTATTCTAATTTGTGATATTCTGGGTAGATCTAGCTTCATTTTTAGCAAACACATGAGGGTAATTGTGGGACTCTTGGAGGAGATTGGGGAGTGAGGAGGAGGAGGCAAAGAGGTTGTGGGAGGGTGAACATATGGAAGTCTGTTGCATCTGTGAAGGAAGTTGGCAAAATGGAGCTCACTGAGAGCTGTAGTGGCATGGGCAGTGTAAGTGAGGGGTCCGCCTGCATCGAATATGCTGTACATGCCTGTGTAAAATCATGGCGACCCTCCTTTGAGCAGTGTGCATACTCTAGAAATGAATGGCAGGAATATAGAATGGATTCAGTGTGTATGTGTGTGGAAATGCGGTGGGAGGGTAAGGCAGGGTTCATAGAGAGGCTGAAGTGTGTGTGGGTTGAATGTGGCCCAAATGCTTTATGTCCACGTGTGAATATGGAAGAATGACGCTTACTGAGTTTGATTTGGGGATGAGGGAGAGTCATGAAGGAGATGAGTCTGATCAACATTCATTTTCCGCATATATGGACATACCAAAGTCAACCCCCTGTGTTGATGCTAATAAAATGTCTGGCCAGGCACAGTGGCTCATGCCTGTCATTCTAGCTACTCAGGAGGCTGAGATAGGAGGATCACAGTTGGAAGCCAACCCAAGCAGGAAAGTGTGTGAGACTCTTCTCTCCAATGAACCACAAAAAGCCAGAAGTGGGTTCAGAAGTGGTAGGTAGAGTGCCAGCCTTAGGCAAAAGAGCTCAGAGACAGCACCCAGGTCCCGAGTTCAAATCAAACTCCAGGACTGGCACACACAAAAAAATGTCGGAGGGGAAAAAAATCTGTTATTCTTTCTCCTTCCCAGGCCTTGTTCCTGTATGAGCAGCTGTGGAAGACTGCTGACGTGCCTGAGCGGCTCCTGAGGTAGGAAAACAAAACCCAGCCTGAGGCTGAAGCGCTCACTGGACTCTTCTAGGAAAGCCTGGAGGGCTCCTTGGTCTCTCTCTACCTCTCTCCATCCCTCCTGACCCCCACTTTGTTTTGCAGTATTGGGCAGCTTGTCAAAGGGGTGACATGCTCACACATAGATGCCATGAGCACAGACTTCTTCCTGGCCCACGTCCAGCATTTTGAGAACAGTTTCTCATTGCTTTCACCAAACCAGGTACCACTTTCCTGTTTCTCTTCCCTCTCCCTGTCAGTCATGGGGTTGCTTTATGGGGGGCATGTGAAGATCGTGATGGCAGAAGTATTAACCTCTAAGCAATAACTTGGGGCCAAATATTGAGCCAGATTTTCTCTAGTCTCTTTCTCTCTCCCTCCCTTGCTCCTCCTTCTCTGTCTCTCTTTCTCTCCTTCCCTCCCTCCCTCCCTCCCTCTTTCCCTCCCTCCCTCCCTCCCTTCCTTCCTTCCTTCCTTCCTTCCTTCCTTCCTTCCTTCCTTCCTTCCTTCCTTCCTTCCTTCCTTCCTTCCTTCCTTCCTTCCTTCCTCCCTCCCTTCCTTCCTCTCTTTCTTTTTTTGATGGCCTCTTGAGACTTGAACTCAGGACTTGGGTGCTGTTCCTGAGCTTGTTTTGCTCAAGGCTAGTACTCTACCACTTGAGCCACAGCTCTACTTCCAGTTTTTTTTTTAAACTGGAGATAAGGGTTTCACAGACTTTCCTGTCTAGACTGGCTTTGAACCATTATCCTCAGATCTCAACCTCCTGAGTAGCTAGGATGACAGGCGTGAGCCACTGGTGCCTGGCTCCAGTTTTAAATCTCCAGATACCTTTATCTCTACAGCCTCCTCCTCCTCCTTTTCTTCCTCCTCCTGTTCTTTTTGCTCCTTGAATTTGAACTCAGGGCCCTGAACTTGCTAGGGAGATGCTTTACCACTTGAGCCACATCTCAAACCTTTACTTAAGAGAAAGGTTTCTTTTTTTATTGTAAAAATACTGTACAGAGGAGTTACAATTACATGGGCAAGATAATGAGTACATTTCTTATCAAGCATTGTTGCCTCTTCCTTTGTTTCCCCTTCCTATTCTTCCCATCTCCCCCAGAAAAAGGTTTCTTTCTGAGTGTTAAATCAGCAGCCTAGAGAACACCACTGGTATTCAGCCAAGGGATAGGTTTATTCCGGAACTACAGGCTGGCCCCAGGCCAAGTTGGTACTCTACATGGCTGGTAAAGAGACCAGCCCCAGGTAAAGGGAGGTGAGACCAGGTAAGGGGAGGTGTTCCCAGGTCTGAGAAGGGTGTGGCCACATTGCATTGGTTATTTGACCTCAGTGGACGGGGTATGTGACTGCCTCCAGGTGTGCCAGTTGCCTAGGTAATGAAGACACTAGGCAGAGACTTAGCCAAGAGGAGGGAGGAGTCTGCTTGCCTTCCCAGGGCGAGTAGCCAGAATTATAGACATGAGCCACTATGCCTGGCCTGCTTTAGTGATTTTTTCAAATCCAACCTGGCACTGTTTTCCTTAGGGCTAGCCTGGAACATGAGTTTTTTTGGCCTATGTGATATACCACATTTGGGCTAGTCTTCTTCTCTCCCTCCTTCCCTCCCTCCCTCTTTTCCTCCCTTCCTCCCTCCCTATCTTTTCTTCCTTCCTTCTTTCCTCTCTTCCTCCCTCCTCTCCATCCCTTTCCCCTCCTCTCTTTCTTATTATCATTGTCCTCCTCTTCTTTCCTCTTCCTCTTTGTCTTTCTCCTTCTCCTCCTCCTCCTCCTTCTCCTCTTCTCCTCCTCTTCCTTCTTTTCCTCCTCCTCCTCCTCCTGCTCCTCCTCCTAATAACTCTCTCTCTCTCTCCCTCTGTCCCTCCATCCCTCTATACCTTTCTCCTTTCTTTTCCAGTGTTAAGATGGACTCTAGGCCTTGGACAAGTTAAGCAAGACCTACATCCCCAGGCCACAACATTGCATTTCTAATTTAGTCCCTAGTGAGAACCATGAACTGAATTAAAAGTCATCTGAGGCAGGAAAGCCAGCACTGGGCAAATGGCTGGAGAGCAGGCTGGTGTAGAAGAAGGCCTTCCAGCTCAATCGTGCTTCCTAGATTCCAAGTATCAGTGACTGAGAAAAATGTGTGTGGACTGTTTACAGTTGCTGAAAGTACATCTGTGTTGTATAAAATAAAACAGTATGGAAAAGGGAGATTCCCAGAGTTTTCCCAAGTATGCTGGCCCTCACTCACCAGGTTGCTGTCTTGTCTCCTAGGGGCCCTTTGGCCTGGTCTGGAAACACCTGGTCACAACTGGGGTGAGGGTGGGGGCTACTGCCACCTAGTGGGTGGAGGCCAGGGCTGCACTTCCCATCCCACAAGACAGTTCAATGGAACCAAGTTCAGGGGCTCCGAGGTCAGGAGGGCTGTGGGAGAGCAGCCTCCTTCCTCAGGGAGGTACAGGGAATGGTTGACTACTGATTTCGAGTTCTTTAATAGCATCCCAAACACATCCACTTGTATTATAAAAACTGCAACCAAAGTCAGATGCTGGTGGCTCATGCCTGGTAATACTAGTTACTTAGGAGGCTTGAGATCTGAAGATCCTAGTTCAAAGCCAGTCTGATCAGGAAAGTCTGTGAGACTCTTATCTCTAATTAACCAGCAGAAAGTCAGAAGTGGTGCTGTGGTTCAGGTGGTAGAGCTCCAGCCTTGAGTGGAAAAGCTAAGGACAGTGCCCAGGGCTTGAGTTCAAGCCCTACTATTTGCAGATACATATGTATATGAATCTATACAGTTATAGTTGGTTTTTTTTTTTCTGGTCGGTCGTGTGGCTTGAACCATGATCCTCAGATCTCAGTCTTCTAAGTAGCTAGGATTATAGGCATGAGCCACCAGCTCCCAGCTTTTTTTTTTTTCTCTTCTTTTCAGTACTGGGGTTTGAACTGAGGGCCTGGCTGCTGGTCCCTGAGCTCTTTTGTGCAAGGCTAGTGTTCTACCAGTTAAGCCGTAGCTCTACTTCTGGCTTTTTGTGTGTATGTTGGTTGTAGGGCTTGAACTCAGACTCTGGGTGCTATCCCTGAGCTTTTCTGATCAGGCAAGTGCTCTACCACTTTGAGCCACAGCTCCACTTTGGGTTTTGAGTGGTTAACTGGAAATAAGAGTCTCATGGGGACTTTCCTGCATGGGCTGGCTTTGAATGGTGATCCTCAGATCTCAGCCTCCTGAGTAGCTAATATTACAGATGTGAGCCACTGGCACCCAGCTTACTTTTCGCTTTTTGTGATTAATTGGAAATAAAAGACTTTTCCTGCTCAGGCTGGCTTTGAAATTAGGTCCTCAGATCTCAGCTTCTGAATATCTAGGATTACAGGAGTGAGCAACTGGTGCCCAACTCTGTATATATGTATGCATGTCTATATGTAGGTAGGTGTCTATACATACATAGACGTCACATAAAGTTAATAAATGTAATTCTGTCTTGCTGAGACAAAGTGTTTACAACAGGAGTCTATTGTGTGCATGTACTGTAATTTATAGCAATATGATTATATACCACTTATCTTGTCATTATAAACTAAGTTGGGATGATGACTCCACACTTAGTTGTTTGTGAGCGCTCATCTCTCTATTTTGCTTCAGTTTACTCATCTGTAAACTGCTGCAGAATAGCAGTGCCTATATCCCAAGGTGCTCTGTTAGGTGAGCGAACATATTCATGAAGTCTTCAGAACAGGGCCGGGTGCACAGGAAACTGTTTCTGCTCTCCTTCAGCTTGGACTCACTTGCTAGCATATTAACTTTGCAGGTTAACTGTTTGGCGTGGAAATACTGGGAAGTTTCCAGGTCATCTATGCCACCTTTTCTCTTGGCTACACTCCCGTAAGTGAACATCTGGCCCCTTGCTGGCCCAGCAGAGAGGAGGGTAGGGGGTGGAGACCATGGGAGCCAATGCGATTCAAGGGGAATCAGAGGCAGTATGAGTGTGGCCAGCTAAGCCCCGCCCTCCACATTAGAGCTTTTTCTTTTCTTTTACTTTTGTGCCTGTACTGGGCCTTGAACTCAGGTCCTGGGTGCTGTTCCTAAGCTTTTTTTTTTTGGTCGGTTGTGGGGCTTGAACTCTGTGCTTGGGTGTTATCCCTCAGCTCTTCAGCTCAAGACGAGTGAGCTACCATGTGAGCCACAATGCCACTTCTAGTTTTCTAGTGATTTATTGGAGATAAGAGTCTCACGGACTTTCCTGTCCTGGCTGGCTTTGAACTGTGATCCTCAGATCTCAGCCTTCTGAGTGGCTAGGATGACAGGCGTGAACCACCAGCACCCGGCTTGTCCCTAGGCTTTTTTCCCTTCAAGGCTAGTGCTCTACCACTTTGAGCTCCAGCCCACTTTTGGTTTTCTGGTGGTTAATTGGGGTTAAGAGTCTCATGGACTTTCCTGCTCTGGCTGGCTTTGAACTATGATCCTGAGATCTGGGCATCCTGAGTAGCTAGGATTACAGGTATGAGCCAACCAGCAGTACTAGGTTTTAAAATCAGTGCTTCATGCTTACTAGGCTGGTACTCTACCACTAAGTCGTGCCTCCAGCCTTTTTTGCTGTGGTTACTTTTGAGGAGCATGATAGGAAGTTCATTTCTCTCCCCTAGGAGAAGAGCATGCTGGAGAGTTTGCAGGGAGGAGCATGCTTGGGAGTTCTCAGAAGAGAAGCATGCTGGGAAGTTTGCAGGAGAGGAACATGCTGAGAAGTTTGCAGGAGAAGAGCATGTTGGGAAGTGTGTAGGAGACAAGCATACTGGAGAGTTTGCAGGGAGGAGCATGCTGGGAAGTTTGCAGGAGAAGAGCATGCTGGGGAGGTCACAGGAGAGGAGCATGCTGGGTAGGGGGTTTGTAGCTCCTGGTGCTGATGTAGGCTGGGATCTGGGGTCTCCCCTGTGTCCAGGGCCCGCTTCCTGGCTTCAGTGCCCGCCTCGCGCTGTGGTCCCTTCCTGGTCAGCCTGGGGAAGAGCCGCCTGGACCGCTTGGTTTTGGATTCCCACAAGAGGAGCTTGGTCCTTAGGAAAGTGCAGGAATGCCTGGTAAGGACGCCACCCGCACGGCCCTCCCCTCTGGTTCTGTGGCCATCCCCGGGCCCTGGGGACATTGGGTGGGGTCTTGAGCCCCCTGAGGTGGGCAGAAGGTGGACTTGTGGGTCCCAAGGCAGTGCTGAACTCCTGGACATCCCCGGAGCAAGTGCGGGATGCCTAGGCTAGTGCTCTTCACACTCTTCTGGGGGCAGAAATCAGTGTCTCAGCCGGGTGCTGTGGCTCACATCTGTCATCCCAGCTACTCAGGAGGCTGAGATCTGAGGATCATGGTTCGAAGCCAGCCCAGGCAGGAAAGTCCATGAGACTCTCATCTCCAATAAACCGCCAGAAAACTGGAAATGGCGCTGTGGTTCAAGTGGTAGAGCGCTAGCCTTGAACTGAAGAGCTCAAGGACAGCACCCAGGACCCAAACAAACCAGGACAAAAAAACCCCCAAACTCCAAACCCAAACCCAAAACCAAAAAAATCAGGATCCCTGGCAGGGATGTTGGTGATTCAGAGCCTGTGAATCTTGGGGAGATTTGGGGGTTTGGGGCTGGCTCTGTGACCTGGGCCCCAAAGTCTCCCATCAGCTCCTTTTTGCTTTCAGGGGGGCTCTGTTGCCGATGAGTTCGCCGTGGACATCATGGGGAGTCTGCTGTGTCACTTGCCAGGGACTGCCATTGAGAGAGACATCTCCCCTCGGGCCTGGGCCTCTGCCCTCCACAGCCTCCAAGGCTGCCCACGCCTCAGCCCCGAGCAGAGGGCCGCCGTGAGGCACAGACTCCTGGAACAGTCCGGGTGAGGGGCCAGGCTGGGCTGTGGGGACTGGCCCGCTGCCAGCCATGGCTGTCTACAGCCTAGCATGGTGGCCACTGACATGCCTTGGGACAGAAAAGAGTGTGAAATATGACACTTTTTATGGGGGGGGCCACTGGGAATTGTACTCAGAGCTTCATGCTCTACCACCTGAGCCATGCCTCCAGCCCTTTTTGCTTTATTTTATTTTATTTATTTTGGGTCTGGTCGTGGGGCCTGAACTCTGGGCCTGGGCGCTGTTCCTCAGCTCTTCAGCTCAAGACTAGCACTCTACCACTTGAGCCACAGCACCACTTCCGGCTTTTTTTTTTCCTGCTTATGTGGTGCTGAGGAATCGAACCCAGGGCCTCATGCATGCAAGGCAAGCGCTCTACCACTGACCCACCTTCCCAGCCCCTTTAGTTTGTTTTTAAGATAGGGTCTTGTACTCTTGGTAAGATAACAGACATGCACCATCACATCTGGCTTATTGGTTGAGATGGGGGTCACGTTAACTTTACACCTCAAACCACAATCCTCTTAATCTCTAACTCTCAAATAGCTGGGATTATAGTAAGGCCCAACAGCATTTGGCCCCAAAGTGGCCAGTTGTTCCCGCCTTGGTCCCTGCACCACTCCCTCAGGTAAGTATAGAGCATAACCTTTTACCACCAGAACTGAAGTTACATTGGCATTAAGATAGAGGTGATTAGCCCAGGACCATTGGCTCACATCTGTAATCTTAGTTACTCAGGAGGCTGAGATCTGAGGATCGTGGTTCAAAGCCAGCCCGGGCAGGAAAGTCCATGAGATTCTTATCTCCAATAAACCACCAGAAAACCATAAGTGGCACTGTAGCTCAAGTGGTAGAGTGCTCACCTTGAGCTGAAGAGCTGAGGGACAGCGCCCAGGCCCAGAGTTCAAGCCCCCCATGACTGACAAAAAAAAAAAGAAGAAGAAAAGAGAGTGGAAAACTACAGTAGACATTCATTGTCTAAAAACAGTGAATTCTGGTTCGGGACTATTCTATCAGATTCAAGAGAAATTTTGTTTTCCTGTACGAATAGACTGTTGAGGTAATTTAAAAAAGGATCAACGGTATCACTGTACTCTTATTGAGGAAGGGAGACAGGAAACAATATGGTATAAGTGGCAGAAACTGGATCATTCCAATTGAAAACAGAGGGAGTGGAATGCAATGGGAAACTCCAGGGGTGGGCTTCGAGCCTGGCTAGATCTGGGTTCTCAAATGATGTTCTCGAGAACCTTCCTCTCATCCCTCGGCTGGGCATTCCTGGGTGTGGCCCTTCGTGTCTGCATGTGATAACAAGAATTGGCCTCCAATTGCTTCTTTATTGGGGGATAGTCAGAGAAATCAAAGGTAGTACTGTCAGATTTCCCAGGGTGGCACTGCTGGTCAGCCATTATCATGTGCAGTGTTTGAAAATAAAGGACTGGGGGTGGGCAATGGTGCCCACCACTGCGTACTTTTTCTTTTTTGGTAGGCCGTGGGGCTTGAACTCTGGGCCTGGGCGCTGTCCCTCAGCTCTTCAGCTCAAGGCGAGTGCTCTACCATTTGAGCTACAGCGCCACTTCCGGTTTTCTGGTGGTTTATTGGAGATAGGAGTCTCACGGTCTCTCCTGCCTGGGCTGGCTTTGAACCACGATCCTCAGATCTCAGCCTCCTGAGTAGCTAGGATTACAGGCGTGAGCCACCAGTGCCCGGCCCACTGCGTACTTTTTCACTTCACTGTTGATGATCTTTCCTTAGCCCCCCTGAGAACTGGACAGCCGAGATGACCAAGGATCTGGGGCCTTTCCTGGCACTTTTCTCAGGAAGTGAATTACACTCCATTGCCTTAAAGGTATCTGCTCTGTCTTTTCTTTCTTTTTGCTTTTGGTGCCAGTCTTGGGGCTTGAACTCAGGGCCTGGACGCTGTCCCTGAGCTATTTCACTCAAGGCTAACACTCTCCCACTTGAGCCACAGCTGTTCTTCATGCATTTTTGGTGGTTAATTGGAGAGAAGATTGTCATAGACGTCCCTGCTCCGGCTGGCTTTCAACTGTGATCCTCAGATCTCAGCCTCCTGAGTAGCTAGGATGACAGGTGTGAACCATTGGTGCCCAGCTTTGACTTGTTCTTCTTAACCACACAGTTTCCTGATATACTTCAGCAAATAGCATCTACAATGGCGGGACCACTGCCTCCTGCATTCCTCTGGGCTGTCTTTGAATCTGTCCGGAATAGTAGCAACAGGACCCCCAGTTTGGACCCAGTGTCTGGTGAGAGTTTCTGGGTTTCCCATCCCATGTCAAGGGGCAGGAATTGGGGCTGAGTCTCTGCTAGTAAGAGCCCTGTCTTACTTTTTTTTTTTTTTTTTGGTCGGTCATGGGGCTTGAACTCTGGGCTTGGGTGCTGTCTCTCAGCTCTTCAGCTCAAGGCGAGCGCTCTACCACTTGAGCTACAGTGCCACTTCTGGTTTTTGGTGGTTTATTGGAGATAAGAGTCTCACGGTCTCTCCTGCCCGGCCTGGTTTTGAACCGTGATCCTCAGATCTCAGCCTCCTGAATAGCTAGGATTACAGGCATGAGCCACCAGCGCCCGGCCCCTGTCTTACTTTCTGATGGAAGGAAAAGCAATAGAATGGTGAAAGCCACAGGCCAGTGGATGGCCTTTCTGTAAAGGGATTTGAGGTCAGTGTCAGTCTGTTTAATAAGCGAATGCGCATAGCAAACATTTCAGGAGCATTGGCTTAGAGGTCCAGCATGATGTAGCAGCTCAATATGGTGGGCGAGGGGGATTGGCTGGCTGGATTTGAAGCCAATCTGTGTAAGTGCTTTTCATCACAGCCATCCAGCAAGGTGATTTGGTCTTCATTTCACAAGCAAGGAAATGGAAGCATAAAGGGATGCAGTAGCTTTGGGTCTGAGGCTGACCCTGCTGATCACCACCAGCTCTTCTTGCCCAGGGGAAGCTCCATCTTTGTATCCGAGGCTGTACAAACTATTGGCACCTCCATAATTTTGTTACCCGGATATGAAAATGGCTGAAGTGGAATTCAAGCTGGACCTTGATTCCTCAGTCCAATCTGAGAGGGGAAGAATATTACTCAGTAGAGAAAAATGGGATCTCCTTACATCCTCCTTGCTCCGCTCCACCCCTTCCCTGTATCTCCCACGCCTCAGGATGCCATGGAGATGCTGCTCCTTCCTCCGATGCCATCATCAGGTTGGTTGAAGCCAACGCCTGCTGGAAGGCGGAGGACCTGCTCTGCATGGATGAGGACACGTTCCTTAAGAACGTAGAGCTGCTGGGGACCATCCGGGGTTTCAGCCACCCCCAGCTGATGGCTCTGAAGGAGAAGGCGATTCAGGTGAGGTTCAATCCAACAGAAGAACAAACGCCCGGTCTCCCTGCGAACTCCTCATTTCTGTGTGTGGACCCTGGGGAGAAATGTGTACCTTGTTACCATGTGGAAATTTCCCTGCCTGTGGCTCACGTGATGGCGTGCCAGCCTTTAGCAAGAAAGCCAAGGAAGAGTGTGAAGCCATGAGTTCAAGCCTTAATACTAGTGCACATGTGCACATACACACACAAACACACACACACAAATCTTGGAAATAGAATTTCTGGGTGTAAGATAATAGATATTTATAAAGCTTTTGATAAATATATCCGAGTTACCATTTCAAAGACATGTACCAAATTATATCATCAACAAGTGAGAGTACCCTTCCCAATGGCATATATGAGCATTCTAGCTGAGGAGGCCGAGATTTGAGGATCGTGGTTTAAAGCCAGTCTGGGCAGGAAAGTATGTGAGATGCTTATCTGCAATAAACTACTAAAAAAAATAAATTAAAGCCAGAAGTGGACCATTATTTTTCACCTATTGTTAATACTAGAGCCAACATGGTCTCTTGAATTTTTGTTTTTTCTTTTTGTGCTTTTTTTTCCCCCTCTCTCTCAAAGCTAGTGCTCAACCATTTTAGCTACACAGCTCCACTTCTGGCTGTTTGGTGGTTAATTGGAGATAAATGTCTTTAATTCTTGCCTGGGCTGGCTTTGAACTATGATCCTCAGATCTCATCCTTTTTTTGTTGTTGTTGTTAGTCGTGGGGCTTGAACTCTGGACCTGGGCACTGTCCCTTAGCTCTTCAGCTCAAGGCTAGCACTCTACCACTTGAGCCACAGCGCCACTTCCTGCTTTTTCTGCTTATGTGGTGCTGAGGAATCGAACCCAGGGCCTCATGCATGCAAGGCATGCACTCTACCACTAAGCCACCTTCCCAGTCCAGATCTCTTGAGAAGCTAGGATTACAGGCATGAGCCACTGATGCCTGGTTCTTTAATTGTTTTTAATGTTCATTTCTTTTTGACTGCCAGTGAACCTTTTTTCTACATGTTTATTTCTTTCTCGAATTTCCTGTTCATGTCTTTTCTTTGGAGAAAACAAATATTCATCCTTTTCACATATATATATATATATATGTGTATATATGTATATATATATATACATATATATGAAATATACATATATACACATATATGAATGATTCATTCTATGTTTGTTTTATGAACTTCTTCAGGCCACTATAAGAAAATGTCTCACACTGGATAAGTTAGAACAGGATTTGTTTTCTTGTGTGCTGGAAATTAGGACCTGGGTACTGTTGCTTAGGTTTTTCACTCAAGGTCGGCTCTCTACCACTTGAGCCACAGCTTCATTTACAGCTTTTGGTGGTTAATTAGAGAAGGGAGTTTCACAGACTTTACTGCTTCAGCTGACTTTTAACTAAGATCCTTGGATCTCAGTCTCCTGAATAGGAGGGATTACAGGCATTAGTAATGGTGCCCGGCTAGAGCAGAAATGTCTCTTGGTTCTGGAATCTGGACATCCACTTTTAAGGCACAGGTGGATTCTGAACATATAGTAAAGTTTCTAATACATGGTATTTCTTGTCTATGCTATTTCCTTGTAGTATTCTCGCATTCTTGTGAGGCTTCATGAATTCCAAAGGCCCCTTTGTGTGTGTGTGTGTGTGTGTGTGTGTGTGTGTGTGTGTGTGTGTGTGTGTGTGTGTGTGTGTGTGTATGTGTATGTGCCTGTGCTGGTGCTTGAACTCAGAGCCTAGGTGCTAGTTCCTGAGCTTTTTGCTTAAGGCCAGTGTTGTACTACTTAACCCTCAGCGCCACACAGAGAGATACTAGCAAATGCTAGCACTAATGTCTAACCTACTTCCTCCCATGTACAGGTCTGGGATGCACCTGCGCACTGGAGAGAGTACCACATCGTTGCCCTGGGGCGAACTGCGCTGGCTCTCAACGAGAGCGAGCTGGAGCAGCTGGACCTGCACTCTGTAGATACGGTGGCCTCCCTGGGCCAGCAGACCGAGTGGACGCCAGGGCAGGTGGGTGGATGTCCCTGGGGCATGGCATGCCCTCCTTCCCTCTTAGTCTGTCCTTGAGATCCGTAATATTGCTAATAGCTGCTCACATCTCATTAGTGCTGGCACCTTTGAGTCTGATTCTCAGGACTGATTTTTCTTCTAGCTCAGTCACTTGTTTTTGTTGCTAAGCATTGTAATTTCAACTAACTTTCGCATTGCTGAGTGCTTGGACTTAGTTAAATTCCTTCAATTGGTCTTTGTTCTGGTCTACTTTCAACTATTTTCAAGCTCAAAAAGAAAAAGGAAGAAAGGTAGAAAGAAAAGGAAGGAAGGAAGGAAGGAAGGAAGGAAGGAAGGAAGGAAGGAAGGAAGGAGGGAGGGAGGGAGAGAGGTAGAAAAGGAAAAGAAAAAAGAAAGAGACACTGTATGAAAGGAAATGTTTGAGCTCTTTTTTGAGCTCTTTCTTTCTTCCTCCCCCCACCCCTCACCCCCCACTCTGTCTTTCTCTCTTTCTTTTTCCTGGGGCTTGAACTCAAGCCTGGGTGTTGTCCCTGAGCTTTTTAGCTCAAGGCTAGCGCTTTACCACTTTGAGCTGTAGCTCCATTTCCGGTTTTCTGGCAGTTAATTGGAGGGTTTCTAGGACTTTCCTGCCTGAGCTGGCTTTGAGCTGCGATCTTCAGATCTCAGCCTTATGAGAAGGTAGGATTACAGGCGTGAGCCACTACTGGCCTTTTCCTTCCCTCCCTCCCTCCCTTCCTTCCTCCCTCCCTCCCTCCCTCCCCTCCTTCCTTCCTTCCTTCCTTCCTTCCTTCCTTCCTTCCTTCCTTCCTTCCTTCCTTCCTTCCTTCCTTCCTTCCTTCCTTCCTTCCTTCCTTCCTTCCTCCCTCCCTTCTCTCTCTCTCTTTCTCTCTCTCTCTCTCTGTCTCTCTCTCCCCCCCCCCTCCCCCATGCCTGTCCTGGGCTTGAATGCAGCCTGGGTGCTGTCCTTTCATGTTCAAAGCTAGTGTTCTACCGCTAGAGCCACATCTCCACTTCTGGCTTTTTTTGGGGTTAGTTGAAAATAACAATCTTGTGGACTTTCCTTCCTGGGTTGGCTTTGAACCGTGATCCTCAGATTTCCTGAGAAGTTAGGGTACAGGTGTGAGCCATTAGCACCTGGCTGCCTGCTCACTTTTTTTTTTTTTTTGGGTCCGGTTGTAGGTTCTGAACTCTGGGCCTGGGCGCTGTCCCTCAGCTCTTCAGCTCAAGGCTAGCGCTCTACCACTTGAGCCACAGCGCCACTTCCGGCTTTTTTCTTTTTGCTTATGTGGTGCTGAGGAATCGAACCCAGGGCCTCATGCATGCAAGGCAAGTGCTCTACCACTGAGCCACCTTCCCAGCCCCGCTTCTCACTTTTTATACTAGGTTTCAGTATGACACTGCATGCATGTATATGTTGTACTTAGAACACGTTTACCCCCCCCCCCCCTTTTCCTCTCCTTCCTTCCCTCTTGTTGGTCCCTCCCCCTCCTGCCCACTTTCCTGTCTGTACTTGCCCATTGGTTGTCTACAGTTTCACTTCTTACTAGTGTAAATTAGGACTTGGAACGCAAGTACAGTCTAATTTCTAGAATTTTCTCTGTATAATTTCCTTCTCTCTAGTTCTTTGCCTCACAAATGATGGTCCTCTGGCCTCTGAATTTAGACCTCTCTCTCATAATTATTTATAGAAAAATGTCGTTGGGCATTTCTCTGAGGCTGCTTTTTTGGAAAGATGTTCTCCACCTCCACCCCCCCAACACCCTTTGGTTGTGGGGCTTGAGCGAGCGACCTGGGCACTGTCCCTGAGCTCTTTTGCTAGTGCTCTACCACTTAAGCCATAGCGCCACTTCTGGTTTTCTGGTGGTTAATTGGAGCTAAGAGTCTCATGGACTTCCCTACCTGGGCTGGCTTTGAACTGCAATTCTCAAATCAGCCTCCTGGAGAAGCTAGGATTATCGGCATGAGCCACCAGTGCCCAGCTGGAAAGACAACATTTTAAAGGGTTTGATTTTATTTCTTGGGGTGCTACTGGTGATATTTATGCTGATTTAGAGTAGAGCCCGAACACAGAAATTGTATCTATAAAAGATGACTAGCACATATTTTTCGTTAAAAAATATATGGTTAGACATGCATGTTTTATCACGTAATAAATATTTATTGAATATATTAATGCGTAAGCATGCTGATCTTAGAGGGTCAGTGGAACTCTCTCGTCGCTTGGGAAGTATTGGGGTGGGCGGTGAGGAAGAATGCTTTACTATGTTCGTGTGTGGTGAAATTTTGCCTTTGGATCTCGTGTGTTCCGCTGCCTGGACGCCGGGTTTGTTCTGGTCTCCGTCTCCCTCTATGACCTGGGATGAGACTCTTGGCAGTAAGCAAGGACATTTTTAGGGTTCACCTCCCGTTTTGTCCTTTTAAGGTTAGTGCAGGGTGCATCCTGTGGTCCAGTATTCGATACAGTTACTTCATGTGTTTTGTTCATTTTTTTAGTTGTTTATGGGGGTTATAACCCATGATGGTGGCTATTAATTAATTAATGGCCACAATCCAATGGCCATTAATTCTTCATGGGCTAGGAAAGTTCCCCCTGAATTCTAGCTGCTTGTATTGGGAGAGATATGTGTTGTGTTTAGTCCACTGGACTGCGGGAAGGGTGACTTTCGTGTTTTCTTTTTTACCATTCTTGGCACTTGAACTCAGGACCATTGCATCATCCCCGAGCATTTTTTTTTTTTTGTTGGTCATGGGGCTTGAACTCTGGTCTTGGGCGCTATCCCTCAGCTCTTCAGCTCAAGGTGAGCGCTCTACCGCTTGAGCCATAGCACCACTTCCGGTTTTCTAGTGGTTTAGTGGAGATAAGAGTCTCATGGACTTTCCTGCCCAGGCTAGCTTTGAACCGTGATCCTCAGATCTCAGCCTCCTGAGTCGCTAGGATGACAGGCATGAGCCACTGGCGCCCGGCTTCCTCGAACTTCTTTTGCTGAAGTCCAGTGCTCTACCACTTAAGCCACATCTCTACTTCTGGACTTTTTGCTGGTGAATTGGAAGTAAGCATCTCATGGACTTTCCTGCCTGGGCTGGCTTTGAACAGTGATCCTCAGATCTCAGCCTTCTGAGTAGCTAGGATTATAGCTAGGATTATACTAACTCTGGGCCCTGAGGTCACTTTTGGTACTAGGCTTCTATATATATTTTCTTCATTCTTTTTTTTTACTTAATTACTGAATTTTGAGGTACTGGAATTTGAACTTAGGGCCTTGTACTTGCTACACATTTGCTCTATGGCTGAGCAATTCAACATTTCAGTTAATGAATACAATGTATTTTTTGAATTTCTGATGGAGTCTTTCTTGCATTTTAAAAATTAATAAGTAGTTGTACAAAGAAGCTTCAATTTCCTAAGCTGGGTTATGTGTGTAATGCCTCTAGACCAGTATCACCCCTTCCATTGCTCTCTACCATCTCTTCCACCTCACCCATCCCCTCAAGTTACCTGTTTCCATTTTCAAGTGATAGTGCCATGAGCCATTGGTACCAAGCTGGGTTACTTTCTTACAAGATGAGAGAATGAAACGCAGCACACAGACGTTCCTGCACTCAGACACACTGTATAATCTCGTGGTTCTGTGACTCTGAAACTAGTTTTGACTAGTTTGCCAAGTACTGCATCATACTTCTGATGCATATATTAAAACGATTCCATTTGCAGTCTCGAAGAAACAGAAAAAAAAAAAAACCCACATCCAACTTGCAAACTAGAGATTCGCTTTCCCTTTTGCACCCATTTTAATTTCCAAGGGATGGCAGTGAGATTTATCAATATGTTGGAAAGGATATGAAAACCTAACATTTGCATATATCATTTGCAGTCAGCTTCTCAACTTCAGCTCCCAAACAAACCTTTAAATGCAGGATTTCAGATTAATAGTCAGACCTGGAGGAACTATATTAACAAATAGTTCAGCTTAAAAACCAATATAAGGGTGTGTGTGTGGGGGAAACTATTCCAGAATCTCGAGAGATGAACAGAGAGATTGAAATCTTTCAGCTACTCATTTTTCACTGGTTAATATTGCCTAAAAGCGTTGGTATTAATTGTCTGGGACTCATTACGTATACACTGGTGCAGCCATTCCGGGAGCTACGTTTTGACTTATCACTTTGCAGTCTGAGCAGTTCATTTTCTAGGTTCTAATGGCAAGAACAATTTAATACCCCATCTTCAAAGTTATTTGATTTGAGTTGTAATTCTGCACTTTCGTTTTCAAATGGGCATGTCTTCTAATATGGGAAACACAAATTACTATGAGTCCACTAGTGACTGAATAAGACAACTTGAATCTCCATCTTTTCTCTGTAGCCAGTCTTGCTCACTGACTGAGTACAGGCTCGGAGGTCCCACAGTTCGGTTTTCTTTTCTTGTTCAATTGTGGGGCTTGAACTCTGGGACTGGGTGCTGTCTCTTAGCTTTTCAGCTCAAGGAGAGTGCTCAACCACTTGAGTCACAGTACCATTTCCGGTTTTCAGGTCCTTAATTGCAGATAAGAATCTCACTTTCCTGCCTGGGCTGGTTTTGAACCATGATCCTTAGATCTCAGCCTCCTGGTAGTTAGGATTACAGGTGTTAGCACTGGTGCCCAGCTTTGTTTTTTCTTTTCCCTTTTCCTTTCCTTCTCTCCCTTGTCTTACTTCCTCCTCCTTCTCCCTTCCTCCTCCTTCTCTCTCTCTTTCTTTCCTTCCTTCTTTTCTTCCTTCCTTTCCCCCTCCCTGCCTTCCCTCCCTCCCTCTCTTCTTTCCTTCCTTCCTTCCTTCCTTTCTTCCTTCCTTCCTTCCTTTCTTCCTTCCTTCCTTCCTTCCGTCCTCCCTTCCTCCCTCCCGCCCTCCCTCCCGCCCTTCCTTCCTTCCTTCCTTCCTTCTCTTCCTTCCTTCCTTCTCTTCCTTCCTTTCCCTTCCTCCCTCCCTCCCTCCCTTCCTTTTTTTCTTTCTCTTCCTTTCTTTGCCACGTCCAACTTGCAAACTAGAGAATTGCTTTCCCTTTTGAACCCGTTTTAATTTCCAAGGGATGGCAGTGAGATTTATCCCTCCCTCCCTCCCTCCCTCCCTTCCAGCACTCTACTACATCTTCTCTTCTGACTTTTTTTTTTTGGCTGGTTAATTGTAGATGAGTCTCATGAATGTTCCTGCCCAGGGCGGCTTGAAACCACAATCCTCAGATCTCAGCCTCCTGATTCGTTAGGATTACAGGCGTGAGCCACCAGAGCCCAGCTCACTGTTTTTCTCACATTGTGACACTGACTTACTTCCTCTCTCCGTGATTCAGTTGCTCATCTGCGAAAGAGGGATGCTATTCATATTTAGCAAATCGAATTGTGATGAGGATTAGATGAGACGGTGTGTAGAAGGTTGTCCAAATAGTACAGCACCCAATAAGCATTCAGTACATGTTGACTAGAATTATTTTGTATGTACATTCCCATTCAGTGGCATCTGAGTCAAAGCTGAAAATACCCCAGAGAATCTCTGAGCTTCCAACTCAGAAAGGCAACTTGACCTTGACTGCTATGATCTGCATAAATGTGGGGATTCTTTCTCCCTGAAGACAGTCTAAACTATGAAGGCCTCAAAATGAAGCTATGGCTGGGTGCCAGTGGTCATGCTTGTGATCCTAGCTAGTCAGGAGGCTGAGCTCTGAAGGAAAAGGTAGGAAAAGTCTGTGAGATGCATCTCCAGTTAACCAGCGAAAAGCCAGAAGTGGAGCTGTGGCCCAAGTGGTAGAGCTCCAACCTAGTGATAAAGCTTAGGAAGAGAGCATCCTGGCTCTGGGTTCATGCCCTAGTACTGGAACACACACACACACACACACACACACACACACACACACACACACACACACACAGAGAGCACACACATACACAGAGTTGTATGGAAGGAGCATGCTTTGTGACTGCTTCAGGCAGAGCAGCAGGAAATTGTAAGGCCTGGCTAGAAAGTCAAGGAAACAGATGCTTGAAACATCTGGATCCTGACGCAGAACCTGCAAGTCTTAGTGACCTGAGGGCCTAAGAGTTTCTGAAGGAGAGAAGCTAGCACTCATCTCTTATTTTCTTCCTAGGCTCGCTCCATTCTGAAGGCATTCCTGGAGGATTCCGGCTGTGGTATCCAGGATCTGAAGAGCTTTCATTTAGTCGGGCTTGGCACCATCCTGTGTGCCATGAATAGCACTGAAATTTCACTTATAAAGATCTCAGAATTCAGGTAAGTGAAATACTTCTTTCAGAATGGCCAATGACCCATCCATCTATCCATTCATCCATCCTCCATCTCCCATCCATCTATAATCCATCCATTTGTCTATCCATCCATCCATCCATCCATCCATCCATCCATCCATCCATTCACCCATATACTATTATCTGTCTGCCCATCATTCATCTATCCATCCATCCATCCATCATCCCTCTACCATCTATCCATTTATTCATCCATCCATCCATTCATCTACCCATCTACTATCCATCTGTCTGTTTATCATGCATCCATCTATCCATCCATCATCCACGCACCTACCAACCCTTCTACCATTCATCTGTCATCCATCCATTATCCATTCATCCATCCATCATTCATCTATCTGCCCACCCATCTTCCATTCACTCACCTACCCATGTATCATCCATCCATCATCCGTCCATCATCTCTCCATCATACCATTCATCTGTCCCTTTATCCATCCATCCACCAACCTATCTACTATCAATCCATCCACTCACCTACCCATTTACCTATATATCTACCCAACGTCTGTCCATCCATCCGTCCATCCATCCATCCATCCATCTGTTTTACACCTTCCTATGCTTTGCCTCTTTGAGTAAGATCGGGAGTGGACTGAGCTGGACCCCTTGTGGTACTGAGACTGCCCACCTGCTCATTTGTTTACATCATATGTCTCCTTTAAATTTTTTTTTTGTTGGTCGTGGGGCTTGAACTCTGGGCCTGGGCACTATCCCTGAGCTCTTCAGCTCAAGGTGAGCGCTCTACCATTTGAGCCACAGCACCACTTCCGGTTTTCAGGTCCTTAATTGGCGATAAGAGCGTCACAGACCTTCCTGCCTGGGCTGGTTTTGCACCGTGATCCTCAGATCTCAGCCTCCTGAGTAGCTAGGATTACATGCGTGAGCCACTGGTGCCCGGCTCCTTTAAAAATTTTAATTGTTATTATAAAGGTGATGTACAGAGGGGTTACAGTTTTGTACATCAGGTAATGCAATGTCCCTTCTCTCCCTGAACCAGGGTGGTGGTGGCCAGAATTGGTACCCTGCTCTGCAGCAGCCACGTCTTGGTTGAGTTTAAGAGAAAGGCAGAAGCTGTATTTGGCCACCCCGCTGAATGGACGGGCTCTGTTCTGCAGGAGCTTGGGACAATTGCAGGTACGAGGTGCAGAACATACACACTCCCATCTCTTTCCCACACCTAGATCTGGGAGCAGAGTGAACTCAAACACAAAGCTAAGTAACAACGCATGGCCGGGTGTCACAGGCACCCATGAGCTACCTTGTGTAGACTAGATTTCATGACTCGAATTTGCAAAGGAAAGTTTCACACTATCACAAGTCTGCATGTGTGTGTGTGTGTGTGTGTGTGTGTGTGTGTGTGTATGTGTGCTGGTTCTGAGGCTTGGACTCAGGGTTTCATGCTCTCCTTTAGCTTTTTCTGTTCAAGGCTAGCATTCTACCACTTGAGCCAAAGCTCTACTTCCAGCTTTTGGGTGGTTAACTGGAGATAAGAGTCTCATGGACTTTTCTGCCTGGGATGGCTTTGAACCACAGTCCTCAGATCTCAGCCTCCTGAGTAACTGGTATTCCAGGTGTGAGCCACTGGTGCTAAAGTTCTTTTTTAAACAGGGTCTCCTGGTGGGTCCATACACACTGGCATAGAATGGGCTTTAACTGGTTTCTAAACTGGTTGATCCACCATCTCAGAGTGTGGGAGTGGAGCCTCTTTCTGGGCATCCATTTTGCTGTGGGAGCAACGTCAGGTCTGGTGAAGGAACTTGAGTCCGCAGGGTAGTTTTCCAGGCCTTTTGGAGGGGTGATGCTTGAGCCATGCAGATCTGTGTTTCAGTAACTATGAACTAAGCCAGTGGAGCGGCATGACCTGAATCCTCTGGTTTTCTCCGCAGCTGCTTTGTCTAAGGAAGAACTCCAAAGTCTCCACAAAGAACTGATGCCGTATTTCCAGCCATCAGCCATACGAAGCCTGCCTGCTGAGCTGTTCCAAGTAGGTGCAGTTCCTCAAAGGGAAACGAGGCTGACCCACGTGATCGCACAGGGAGCAGGAGACTGGCATGTACTCCTGCACTTGGGAAAGGCTTCATGGTCAGGGAGACTTGGGGAGTTTTAAAAATGTTTAAAGGGGCTGGGAAGGTGGCTCAGTGGTAGAGCGCTTGCCTTGCATGCATGAGGCCCTGGGTTCGATTCCTCAGCACCACATAACCAGAAAAAGCCAGAAGTGGTGCTGTGGCTCAAGTGGTAGAGCACCAGCCTTCAGTAAAAAAGCTAAGGGACAGTGGCCAGGCCCTGAATTCAAGCCTCAGTATCAATGTGTGCAACACACACACACACACACACACACACAATGTAAAATATTTAATTTGTGATCTAATTATTTTTATAGCTACCCTCTCTTCATAGCAAGTGGCACTGATTTCCTAGTTACAGTGTTGTGTCAGGCTCATAAATCCCATTCAGGATAAATACATTTTAGAGTTAAGTTTCAGGCTAGCTGGGTGCCTGTGGCTCACTCCTGTAATCCTAGCTACTCAGGAGGCTGAGATATGAGGATTGCAGTTCAAAACCAGCCTGGGCAGAAAAGTCCCCATGAGAATCTTATCTACAATTAACTACTCAAAAATAGGAAGTGGCACTGTGGTTTAAGTGGTAGAACTAGCCTTGTGCACAAAGACACTCAGGGCCAGTGCCCAGGCCCTGAGTTCAAGCCCTGCAACCAACAAAAAAAAGGAAAAAGTTTCAGGTTTTGAGAAGACCACTTGTGCCTACAGTAGGATATCTAACACCTCCACTAACACCTCCAGCAGCATTTGAGAGAGCAATTGTAAGCAAACACATTACTGCATTTTGTGAAGAAATCAGTGACAACATCTCATCTATTCATTAAGTAAGTTTTGTCTTAAACTTTGGGAAAAAAGTACAAGTCTCTGTGTTCAAACTCTAGTACTGCCAAGAAAAAGAAAAGTATAGCAGGTTGTTAGAGGCCCTTCTAGAAAGGCAGAATGCTGCCATCCCATCTGGAAATAGCTACCATGTCCTTTGAATCTGAGCGACTCAAGAAACCATCTTGTTCAGAGTCCTCAAAGAGGGCTCTGTGAGGCAGATTTTTCCCATTTCTGCTGACCACGGCAGACATCACCAATGGATTACTGAACTTCCTTCCCCCCAGGGAGACCTTGTGAACTGCAAGAAATAACCTGTCAGAGTGAGATCACCATGGCTGTATTTTAAGACTTCCGATTATGGCAAGGCAGAAGTCTCAATTTGGAGCATAACTGTCTGGCTTTGAAAATCCCTCCACACCTTATCTTTTTGTAAGAAGCCTGGGGTTCTGATGTTACATCTAGCTGGAATTCAACCGTATTGTTTTCCTTTGTCTTCACCCAGGGCCTTCAAGTTCCATGTTTGGGAATGTCCTTGAATCTTCTTTCCCTGTTTCCAGGCTCAGTCCTGTAATCCTAGTTCTCAGAGGCTGAGATCTGACAGAGCCAGCCTGAACAAGAACGTCTGTGAGACTCTGATCTCCAATTAACCACTATAAAGAAGCCAGAGTGGTAGAGCCCCAGATTTAAGCTAGAAAGCTCAGAGCACCCAGGCTGGGAGTTCAAGCCCCAGGCCGGGCACCAAAAAAGAGGAGCACAAATGGGTGCGAAGTTGCAGACGGTGGGCAGGGCAGATAACCAGGGCTTGGGAAGCCCAGGAGCCCTTCCCCTGCTGAGCCTGTTGCCCCCTCCGCCCTGCAGGAGCTGTCGCCGGCACAGATCGCCTCCCTGGGCCCCGAGAACGCGGCCGCGGTGACCCGGGCCCAGCGCCGGCGGCTCAGCGCGCCGCAGCTGCAGAGCCTCGAGCGGGCGCTAGATGGCGCCAAGACCCACTCCGGGCCGGACGCGCCCGCCAGCGCTAGCCCGGGCCGCCCCCTGGCCTCCCGGGCTCCTGCAGGTGGGCCGCACCCCTCCCAGGCCCTCCCCGGGCCCAGGCTAGGAAAATGCCAGAGAATCGGGCGGGGATCTACACCCTCGAAGTCCCCTAGCAGGCTCCCCTTGTGATTCTTAGCTCTCTCCGCCCAGATGGATCCGATCAGAGGCTCTTCTGCACCCCCTCTGCCCGCCGCTCATCCATTCCAGTCCGGGCCTGGGCGCAGGGAGGTGGCGGGCGGGACAGGCCAGGCCCTCCTTGGAGGGACAGAGGGTGATCTCGTCTGATCAGACCCGGAATGACCCTTCCCAGGGAGCCTGGGGTCCAGGCCCGTCTAGAAGGGGAGTTGGGGGGGGGGGTGGCTGCCATTCCTGCCTTTTTCTCCTTCCTTCCCCCTTCCAGTGTCCAGATTCCTCCCCGCCTCTCCTTCCCTCTCCTCTTTCTCTCCCCACTTCTCTCAGGAAGGGATCCAAACTGGGAAAGAAGTAAAACTCTCCCTCTTTGCAGATGACACGATCCTGTATGTAAAGAACCCTATAGATTCCTCTCCTGAGTTACTTCAGTTGATCCAAACTTTGGCAAAGTAGCAGGGTAGAAATCAACCCACAAAAATCAGCAGCTTACGGGGCACCGGTGGCTCATGCCTTTAATCCTAGCTACTCAGGAGGCTGATAGCTGAGGATTGTGGTTCAAAGGCAGCCAGGGCAGGAAAGTCCGAGAGACTCTTATTTCCAGTAAACTACTCAGAGAAAGTGGAAGTGGCCCTGTGGCTCAAGGGATAGAGTGCTAGCCTTGAGCACAAAGAGGTTCAGGGACAGTGCCCAGGCCCTGAGTTCAATCCCTAGGGCCAAAAACAAACAAAAAAAACCCAGTAGCTTTTCTGTATGTCAACAATAAGGAGATCGATACTAAAAGTATCGAAAGTAACTCCATTTGTAATAGCTTTAAAAAAATATCTAAGAATTAACCAAAGATGTGAGGGACCTCTATTGTAAAAACTTAAAAAGTCGGAAAAAAGAAATGGGAGCAGATCTAAGGAAATGGAAAAACCTTCCACGCTCCTGGGTTAGAAGAATTAACATCGTGAAAATGGCACTACTGCCCAAAGCTATTTACAAATTCAATGAAATACCCATCAAAATCTCAACAACATTCTTCAATGAAATAGAGAAAGCAATCTGGAAATTCATACAGAATAATAAAAGACCCAGAACAGCAAGAAACAATCCTTAGCAGGAAGAACAGTGTTGGAGAAATATCAATACCAAACTTCAAACTCTATTACAGAGCTGTAGTAATAAAGCCAGCTTGGCACCAGTTCCTGTCTTCTGTGAGAAACCCTGGTAATGGGGCAGAGGGACAGTACCATCCTGTCCTCCGTGAACTCAGTAGGTGACAGTGGAAGCAATATGTTAGAGAAATGAGCCTGGGGACAGAGGGTAGGGGTGTGTCAGGACCCCTTCCCAGATGTGTTAGACTGCACCCCAGTGAGCGAGCAGGAGGGGAAAGGAGAGGAAAGAGAGCTTGGGGCATGACTCCTTCCTTCCTGCTATCCTGACCTGACCATCTTGCCATTCACCTTTTGCCACCTCCACCATGCCTCCCACCAGGATTGCTTGCCAACAGGAGCCAAACTTGTTAGTGTGTTATTATCAGCTTCACACTGAAATACAATACACGCATGGTCTTTTGGAAGGACAGTTAAGTATACACCATGGAGGATACATAAAGTCTGAAAGGTGAAGTCAGGAAATCTTTCTCCCAGACACTCCAGTTACCGCCTTCTAGTGCATCTGAGCAAGCAGATGCAGTATCCTCTGCATTTTCACAAAGCTTATTCCAGCTGGCTGCCAGGGGTGCACACCTGTCATCATAGCTATTCAGGAGGCTGAGATCTGAGGATCCCGGTTTGAGGCCAGCCTGGGAAGGAAAGTGTGCGAGACTCTTATGACTAATTAATCAATAAAAAGGCAGAAATGGAGGCATGGCTCAAGCAGTAGGTAGAACACCAGCCTAGAGCAGAAAAGCTGAAGGACAGTGCCCAGGCCCGGAGTTCAAGCTCCAGTATTCACACACACACACACACACACACACACACACACACACACACACACTTTTTTCCCCATCTGCACCCTGTATTTTTTTTTTTTTTGTTTTATCTAGGGATACAGTCTGGAGCTAGATGCCTACAGCAGATCTGTGCATTTTCTAGCTTTAGGGTCATACCATACAATGTGTAAGCAGACTATAGATGGCACTTCAATTCTATTTTATTTTTAATTAGCTATTTTTTTGTGTGTGGCCATGACAAACAATGGCACAGCTGACAACCTAGAGAATTTGTATTTGAGTCTCTCTTGGATAAACTCTTCCTAGAGGAATTGCTAACTCTAGGGCGCATGCGCTTGTAATTTGGCTAGACATTGTCAAAATCCCTGCAGAGAGGTGGAGACAGTCTTTCCTGGACCAGCAGGGTCAGAAAATGGCCAGGATCCTAGGTGGCCTCCTCCCTTCTCCCCTCCAGCCCTTTGCCAGGTGCTTTTCTAGGCCACACCTGTCAGCCACTCACCCGTGAGTAAGGCTTAAAATGGAAAATCCTGGCATGGTGGCTCACGCCTGTCATCCTAGCTACTCAGGAGGCTGAGAGTTGAGCCTCGGGATTGAAAGGCAGCCCAGGCAGGCAAGTCCATGTGATGCTCATGGCCAGCGAACCAGCGAAAAGCTGAAAGTAGAGGTATGGCTCAAGTGGTAGAGAGCCAGCCTTGAGAGAAAAAGCCAAGGGAGCGTGCGAAGTCCCGAGTTCCAGCCCTAATACTAGCACCCCTCAGAAACAAAACCCAGCCCAACAAAACAAAAGACAACAACAAAGAAAGCAAGTGCTTGGCTTCCTCTGGACCAAGTCGGACTCACCAGGGATCATCCAGATTTTTTGAACTTTAAGCCAAGTGAATGTTATAATTAAGGCTTTTGCAACTCACTCCATGCATCCGAGTCCTTTCCCCTTGGGAGACAGGGCTCCCATTTAAAGGAAGTACAAGTCGACGTCCGCAGGCTGGAGGTGTGGTGGGATCTGGGAGCTGGGCACCATGCATCTCCCTCACCCTTCCTCTGAGTGTTTGCCATGGTGTTTGCTTTCAGGAGCCTTCGCAGCTTGGTGTCTTCGGCTGGGCTGTTTCCTGCTGCTTCTGATGGCCAGGCCTCTGTGTGAAATGGATTCAGCACTCTACTTTTTGGTGTCTCAAGAAGCTGGCCAAGGTTTTTAGAGACAGTGGGTGCTCAGAAGCTGAACCAGGCAGGAAGACCCTGGGGGCCTTGATATGTAAAAAGCATGTCATGCAAACAATAATTAGAAAAAGACCTTGCACAGGCCTGCCTGTCTCTGTAGTATGGTGCTCTCCTCTGTCACATTTTGAACTCTTGCTTTCTGGCTTGAGAGAAGAAGAAAAAGAAGAAGAAGAAAGAGGAGGAGGAGAAGAGGAGGAGGAGGGATGGATGCCGGCAAAGGCAGCTTTCAGCCGGGGCCTGATCTGGTTTTTACCTGGCTTAATTTCACCTCGATGGTGCTCCAGGCTGTACTGGTGTTTCCTTTTCCTCCATCCTTAGCAGAGCTGAAATAAATGAATCTCTCAACAAAAGCCAATATTCCTGCCTGATTACTGGGACTAATTGATGTGATGGTGGGCACCACATTTGCTTGGAAATTAAAACATTTAACATGGCTCAACACTAAATCAATTTTTAAATACATTTTCCAGATGCTTTCTATTTCCTCGGGAATCAATTGGATGGATGACTGTGGAGGGATCAGTTAAAATTTCAACATATTCACGTTTCGGGGGGAAAAGGGGAGAGAGGGTAGGGAACTGCCCTTCTGGTTTTAAGGTGCTTTGAGGCTTAGTGAATGGGTTGAAATTTAAGAAAAAGAAGTATTTCAGATATGTTGGCTACAGATGGCATCCTGGCCCAGCAAACTCAGTTCCCCTGGCTAATCCTTCTGGAAGGAGGTTACTTCTAGAAAGTTCCTGGATGCCCTCAGGAAATCAACCAGGTAGAAAACATGGCAGGCAAAAGGATCTCAGGGGACAGTGGTGGATGAACCCCTGGTGTTCGTCAGGTGACAGGTTCGCCTCCTGGATCTCCTGCCATCCTCAATCCACCTCTGTGTGCATGAGCATCCCAGTACTGAGGTTTGAACTTAGGGCCTGGGCATTGTCTCCTAGCATTTTTGCTCAAGGCTGGCATGCTACCACTTGAGCCAGAAGTTCAATTCTGACTCTTTGGTGATTCATTAGTGATAAAGAGTCTCATAGACTTTCCTGCCTGGGCTGGCTTTGAACCTTTATCTTCAGATCTCAGTCTCCTGAGTAGTTAGGCGTACAGGTGTGAGCCACCAGCGCCTGACTCAATACAGGTCTCATTTTGTTGATTAAAAAGGAAAACTACTCATGGTCTTTCACAGGAAGTGGATGGCTTTTTTTTTTTTTTTGCCAGTTCTGGGCCTTGAACCCTGGGCCTGCGTGCTGTCCCTAAGGTCCTTTTACTCAAGGCTAGCACCCTATCATTTGAACTAAAGCACCACTTGAGGCTTTTTCTGTGACTAATTGGAGATAAGAGTTTCATGAGCTTTCCTGCCAGGGCTGGCTTTGAACCATGATCCTCAGATCTCAGCCTCCTGAGTAGCTAGGATTACAGGTGTGAGCCACCAGCATCCGGCTAAATTTATTTTTAAAATAGCTTAGGAAACACTGAAACGAGTTGTAGGCTGGTAGATTGTCAGCAGCCACCTGGTTGTGAAGGACAATTAAGAACCGGAAGTGTGGAGGGTGTGGCCTTGGGTGTTAGTCCCAGTCTTGTTTGCTTTTCTTTCATCCTAGCAGGAAAGTAGCAGTGGGAGGAGCTAGTGACCCTGCCAGCCAACTGAGAGTCAGCCCGCAGTCATGGGAACTATTTGAGATTATTCTAGATGAGAGAAATGATTGGGATGTAGGCCAGAAACCACCGTCAAGGGATGAGGAGTCAGGACTGGTGGCTCACACCTGTAATCCTACTTTCTCAGGAGGCTGAGATCTGAGGATCCTCTTTTAGGGAACCAACTCAAGCAGAAAAGCCTGTGAGACTCTAGCTCCAAACAACCCAGATGAGAGTGTGAGGCTCTGAGTTCAAGTCCCGGAACACATACACACGTACACACACCCACAGATGTACACACGGGCAAGACACTACAGTTGTGTCGCTAGTAGTGTGAAGCAACTCTGGAGACAATTGTCTTTGTCACTGGTGACCTTCGGTTGTTCCAGATTATCCCAGGCTGGGAAAAGTGGGGACAGGAGCCAGCATACAGGGCCCCGAGTCTGAGAGAGGGCAGGAGCTCTGTTTAGTAGGCCTTTGAATCCTGACCTCCTCATCTCTGTGGGGTGCAGCGCCCCTGGAGCAGGGACACCTCTGATAAGTTAGATCAGAGAGATCCTTGAGTCCCAAGGCCTCGGGCGCTGGCGGGAGGCCAGCTTGCTGCATCAAGCAGCTAATTGGTGATCGCCTGAGGCAGGAAACAAATCCAGCTCAGGCCCTGCGGGCGCCCCAGGGGTCCAGGGGTAAAATGCTGAGTCCTTCTCCGGCAAGGGGGGCGGTGGGTCACACAGGGCAGATCCTGACCTACTCACCTTTCAAAGCCAGCCTCCATCCTCCCCCACAGCCTGTCCAGCCCAGGGGCAGGGAGCAAGGTCACCTGAAGGGCAGTTCCCCTGTGTGGCTGTGGGCCCTGATTCTAGTTGGGCAGGACCTGGCTCATCCTGGTTGTTAAGCAGTTTGACTGTCACCCCAGCTAGATCCTTTTCCGCTGAAGCAAAAGGGGACATCTGGGTCCCCTCTGGATGCTGAGCCTGGCTTGATGGGGAGGGGGAGGAGAGGACTGGTCCCCAGGGTGCCAGCCACAGCTTGCTGGCCATGGTGGGTTGTGTGGCCAGAGGCTGTAATTGCTACTGCGCATGGGCGCCTGGGTGGGCGTGTGCGCATGCATGGGCCCAGGGGACTGTGTTTAAGGAAGGTACTGGTGGTGAGCTAGAATTGCAAGATAGTATTAACCACGTTGCATTTCTCTGGCTTTCAAAGTTCTCTGTCCACTCCTGCATCACGAGGGCCCTGGAGGCTCACTTGGCACATCTCTGCCCACACAGCCAATGAGATGCCACGCGCATCTCACCTGCTGAGCTTGCCTGGTCCCGCTCCACTTGATGATCTCCAGTTCCAGACATTTTCCTGCAGATGGCATCACTGCATTCTTCTCTATAGCTGCATACTATTCCATTGTGTGTGTGTGTGTGTGTGTGTGTGTGTGTGTGTGTGTGTGTGTGTGTGGTATTTTCTTTTTTGCTTATAGGTAGAATCTAGACCTAGATGATGATGGTGATGATGATGATATAACCTGATTGTAAACTGGGTTATGCTGGAGAGGTGAATATTATAGAATTATGTTCTCTCTCCCCTATCTGTCATCCCTATCTCTATACAAAGTGCACAATGAAACAAAATAAAAAAAACTCTTAAAGAAAAGGGGGAAGGGGGCAGGGAAGCCAGGTGCTAGTGGCTCACGCCTAAAATCCTAGCTACTCTGGAGCCTGAGATCTGAGGATTGGGGTTCTAAGCCAGGCCAGGTAGAGGAGCCCAATTATTTCCAATTAACTACCAAAAAAAAAAAAAAAAGCCAGAAGTGGAGCTGTGGTTCAAGTGGTAGATTGCTAGATTTAAGCTGAAAAAACTCAAGGACAATGTCCAGTCCCTGGGTTGAATCCCAGGTCTGGGGGTGGGGGAGGAGAGAGGGGTTAAGAAAGAGTAATATATAGGAGGGACAAAGGGTGAACAAATGCAGCGGTGGAACTCACTAGACACGATGTTGAAAATGAACTACAACTTGTGGGTGCGGATGGGAGAAATAAATTGGGAGAGAGCTAGGGAAAGGGTGACATTGTCCAAAAAGAAATGAACTCTTTGTAAGGTCCATTCCTGGACAGCAAACAGACCTCGCCCAGTACCTGCGTTACCTAGGCAACTGGGACACCTGGAAGAGGTCACATCTGCATCCGCTGAGGTCACATCTTAACCAGATGTGGCCACACCTTTCTCCCACCTGGTCCCACCTCTTACCTGGTCCCACTTCCCTTTACTTGGACACACCTTCTCCTCCCTCCCCCCCCCCCACCTCCTACCCTATATAAGGCCTAACCCAGGGCCAGATGCTCTCTTTTGCCAACCTTGCCTGGTCTACTAAATAAACCTACCCCTTACCTGAATACCACGTGCGTGCTGGTGCTGTTCTTACTCAGCTACCTCTTTTTAAAAAACCTAACACTCTTCACCTGACTTTTGTAACTATAACTCTTCTGCATATCACCTTTATAATAACAATAAAATTTAAGAAAAGGAGACATTAAACCAAAAAGGAGCATGTGGCTCATGTCCATAATCAAAACTACTCAGGAGGCTAAGATCTGAGGATCACGGTTCAAAGCCCAGGCAGGAATGTTCATGAGACTCTTATCTATAATTAACCACCAGAAAACTGGAAGTGGAGCTGTGGCTCAAAGTAGCAGAATGCTAGCCTTCAGCCAAAGAGCTCAGGGACAGCACTCTGGCCCTGAGTATAAGCGCTGCAACTGACAAAAAAGGAAAAAAAATGGAAAGAATATAGCTGGGCACTGGTGGCTCTCACCTGCAATCCTAGCTAATCAGAAGTCTGAAGCCAGCTGGAGCAGGAAAGGCCATGAAACTCTTATTTTAAATTAGCCACCAAAGCTGGAAGTGGAACTGTGGCTCAGGTGGTATAATGCCAACCTCGAGCAAAACAGCTCAGGGACAGTAGCTAGGCCCTGACTTCAAGCTTCAGGACTGGCACCAAATCAATCCATCATCAAATCAATCAATCAGTCATGAGCAATGCTTAAAGTACATTATATACATGTGTGTAAATATCACAATGAAACCCCTTTGTATATATAATTTATGATAATGAACAAAGAAGAGATAAAAGGAAAAGAAGAAAGGATGTGTGTTGGTGACCCTTGGCCACCTCTTTTCTGGCCAGCTGGGCAGAGATGGATGAGCTATCTGAAGCAGTATGAATTGGGCTGGGGAATTCCCTCATGGCCCAGAGGCTCTCTGGGACATCTTTGCTTGGAGGAGTTGGGCTACATGAGTCTTCCCATAATCCTGTATACCTCTCAGGATGATATGAGCAAGCCTTTTCCCATGAGGCTTTGCAGTACACCTC